CAAAAATTTGGTTGTATGGGTGTTGTGCACACGAGATTTCGTGTATATTATGGGTAATTGCGCTTTTTGAGAGAGAGAGCGCGCTTTGAGGGTGCGTGATGACGCCGTTGTGGGTGTCTCAAAGGTTAATGCTAATGGGACCGTAAATTGGCGCCAAGTGGCGTCGCGTATTCGGTTGATCGCATGCAGCCACGAGTTGCTTGGCGAGTTGGGTTGTGTAACTAATGTGGTTGGTAAAATATTGGTTAAAAATTCCACGATATGACAGCTGTGCGCAGCAAGCTGGGGCTGTGCGTCTATCGTTGTTGGGGTTGTTACAATAAGACGGGGGATGCATTTTGTGACCCCCAGCATAGGGAAGCTGGGGTGCACGAATGGAGAAAACTGGCCACGTGTTCGCACGTTGGGCCGCCATTTTTTGGCCACGTGTTCGCACGTTGGGCCGCCATTTTGCGCGCACGCGGGGTATGGCGACGATGCGCTTTGCGGAAAGGGCCGCCATTTTGAGTGCGCGCGAGAGATTGCGCGAACGCGCTGGGCGAAGGGGGACGCCATTTTTGAGCGCGCGGGAAAAACCGGGGTGGGGCAAATATTCCATCTGTTATGCCTGCCATTGTTGATTGGGTGATGCACGAGTTGTGGTCACATCGGCCTATGGCTGATGGCTGACCTGACAGCCCGGAGGCGAAACCTCCGTGGTATGTCTTAAACTAATGGGCCATGTGCTCATATGGCTCGGGGAGTCATAGTTCAGTTGTGCGGGGGCAGACTGAACCTGGTGTGCCGGGGGCTCACGGGATCTGGGTTAGGGTGTTATTGTCTCTATAAGAGAACATTGCCCCGTGGGGGGAGTCCATGGGGTCTGGCATTGCCGGGGGATGAACCTTCCCTGGGCTATAAAGCATCGGACTATACGAGGCTGGTGTGTGTCCATCTCCGATGGGATAGTAAGGGAGGAGCATGGCCGAGTTGCTGCTCATCCCCGAAATTGCACTAGCTGAGAGTATGGTCAGTGGATGTTGCTGTGGGTTGACGACCACGGTGGGGGTTAGGGCGAGTTAAACGTTACCGCTGGGGAGCGTGGCTCTCTCCACACGAGGGTGTGCGATTAGGCGTTTTGTTGGGTTGCTGAGAGTGACCGTGGGTACATGCTGTGTACGTGCGATGTCTGTGCTGGTCCTCAAGGGAGGACTGCTGGTGGGTAAGAGCAGGAAATTTTGTTGTTGTTGTTGTCACGTGTAAATAATATTGTTGTTAAAATATAAATAATGGGGCATCCATTGCGTTATTTTGGGTATTTATGGGGAGTTTTTTTTAAGCGGGCTGGATTTACATCATCTCCACTACCCTGAGGCCGGGTGGCTGTCGTGTACGACATGCGGATGTGCGTTGTTGTGCTGTGCCTCAGGGGATTGGATTCTCCTTCTCGTCACAGATTCTTCAGCTCCCGTCGCACTGGGTGTTACCTGGTGTGCTAGCTGGATGAGGACTTGAAGGAGCAATTGAGCGCCGTTCGTCATTCTGCTCTACCACTTGCTCTTTGACGTTGGACTTGAGCCGAGCGGATGGAACTGCAACATGGACACGCACTAAAACATCACATTTCTGGATTGTGCGCGTTGGCCGTTCTTGCGTGTCAGTTGCCGTTTTTGTTCATTGTGCCATTTTTATTCTTGTTGATGTTGCGCGGAGGACAGGCCGGTGTTCTGTTCCAGTTCCTGATACCTCCCCTTTCGTTGCTTGTGTTGTTGTTGTTATAATCTCCGTTGTGTCTGGGGGACTCCTGATTGTGATGCCTTCGCCCGCATTATTTTGTTCTGTTTCAGCCGAGGACGGCTGGGATTTTCTCTACGGGGGAGGGTAGTGTAATGCGGGCGTAAATGGGCGGGGCGGATATGACGATCCGAGAGGGAGGAGTCAGGGTGACGTGGGGGAGAAGTTATAGCGGGGAGACAGGAAGCTATCTGGGTCAGTCGGGGGAGTGAAGGGTGGTGAACACGTTGGGTGGTCGCCGTGCCTCAGCCTGGTGGCTGAGGGGCTCATGACGGCGCCAGCCAGCGGGGTGGAAGAGAGAGTGGAGGATTGAGGTAGGAAATGGCGAGATAGCCATAGAGGCCACGAAGGGCTGACATTGGGAGGTGGCGAGATCGCCACGCACGGAGGAACAGGGAGCAGAGATGGAGCTGCTGGGGGAGCAGCCAGAGGGCTGTACCAAGAGCCTGCAGCGGAGCTGCAGGAGCGTGGAAGGCTACGGGAGCGAAGGCAGATGTGGGGCTGCCAGGGAGAGGGTCTCAGGAGGAGTGCCGTGTGGGAAGGAGAACGCGAACCCCAAATAAAGGACACGAAGACAGAAAGAAGTGTCTGAGTCCTTTTTATTACACTACTACTACACACTTTTATTGAAATTGATGTGTGTTGGTTTATGTTCTTTGGAATCTTGGACGTTTAATATCTTCGGATTTACGAAGCCAAACGAGTTGACATTTTCTACACACACTCGTTTCGCGTGAATTTCATGAAAATAAACTTTTTTTTTACTTAATTTTCTTAATTATAATCAATCATCGTTCATTTACACCCCCCCCCCCCCCCCATTATGATATCTCGAATAGTCGCGCCCAACTACGAGGGAAAACGTCTCGTCCAATCAGAGCGGCTGTTGCTGGGGGGGGCGGGGCAGCCCCTGACCAATGAAAGGCGCGTTTACATCCCCGCCCGTCATGGCGCCGGAGCGGCCTTTGTGTTCCCCTCTTAGACAAGCAATAACAAGAGTTACTACTACAGTTCTAGATTTTAAACTTTAGTGACTGCAAGGATTCATACTCTTAGGTTTTTTCGGTGAAGTCACGTAGGTAAAAAAATAAAATAATAATACATGAAAATATCTCTCTGATTTCATTGAGTTATTAAAAAAAAATTACTTTCGTGACTTTACCGAAAAAAACCTAAGGGTACTACTACAGTATTGCTATGGCTAGAACAATTACATTGTTAGAGTCTTAATAAATCGCATCGTTTGCTTTGCAACGCCCGTTCCGACACGCGGAGGGCAACATCGAGCGAGCAGGTGAGAACCGTGATCATTGATGTAGAATGAATTACCCTAATGTTATCGCACATTTTATTGCCAATTTGTTCTCGCTATGATTGTTGACATAAATGCGTTATATTAAAGTTCTAAATCTGTGCAGGTTGAATATGGTCTCGGGATATGCACTGTTGTCCATATGCGCGCATTTTATAGCATTGCAGCCGACAGGGTGTTCCATAAGTCTGGAATCGGAGCGAAACATAGCTAAGATTTTCTTTGGTTTCTGCAGGCTCTAGATGTCTCTGCGTAAGGAAGAACAAGTCCAGATAATTCAGGAACAATGGTGGACACATTAAACATGCTCTGTGAATAATAGTGTTATTATTGCCTTTTTTGCATTAATTTTACTATAATTCCAGTGTTATGGGACACCCTGTATGTGTCTTACCGTCTTTCAGAATGTCCAGTACTTAATGATCGCAAATACGACATTTAAACGAGTTAAAGTATCGTGTTCTAAATGCAATTTTATCACTTTTCAAACGGCATGATCGTTATTCTAATTGTAATAGCCGTGATGCGTGCTATCAACCTTTCATTGGGTAGACTGTTGTTGGGTAGCAATGTGCATGCTTTCATTGTATGGACAAGGGTTGACATAGGCAGCGCCATCATTGTCATCTCTACAGGGTCATACTTTTTTGGTAAAAACCAAACTTTTCAATGTACAAACTTTAATTTGCAAAGTACAAACTACAATAAAAGTGTGTGGCTTGCATAAATAAAATATATCGAAAGGATGCCACCCACTTTTATTCAGCATATCAAATTGGTTTAATTTTCTGGTCAAAATAATATATTTTGTACTTTAGAGTGCAAATAAAAGTGTGTGATTTGAAGAGCAGTTTTTTTACCCAATTTTGTTGTATGATCCGTGCCCTTGCACCCTGCGCCTGTACGCTGGCAACTCGTGTTCTACTGAGAGTGAGAAACTGCAAGGACTTTAGACTGGAACTCCGTGGCCTGGCATTGCTTTGTGGGGACATTGCCACTGTTGTAGGGATTCCATTGGTTCCCTGGTGCACCTCCACCATGAGGAATTCCCGAATCGACGACTTGCCTGACTTGTGGTACTATTGAGGCGAGCTTGCTTCTCCGTGTTCCCTCCTCTCGGTAACCGTCAGACAGACCGTGTGACTGAATGTCGTGAGGAACGTTTAACACGTAGTAGTAGTAGTAAATAGCAGGGGCTTTCATGACCAATATTATCCTAACTAAAAGTGATTTTGGTTAGATCACGTAAATATAAATGTGTCGTTAACACACCACCACCCGACACATCCAATTAGGGTTTGTCACGTAAACAAATCGTAGCCAATGAGTTACTACTTCAGCACTAACCGGTGTGTTGGAGAGTAAACCCGCAACATTTCCCACTTGAGTACTGTGACGTTTCGCTGGTGCTCCTCTGCACTCTGCTGTTGCTCGAGGGTGACTGCATCCAACTGGCCAGTAGCGTCCTTCACGAGCCTCCTCCACAGAGGCTGATCTTGTTCATGCAGCTCCATATCATCCTGGACCACGCGAGTCCATCTCGTATTGCATCCATTTAACCCCCTCTATCCGGCCAAACAAAAGTTGTTTGGGCATGTGGTGGCTGGGCATGCAGGCTACGTGACCCAGCCAACACAGCTTTGCTTGCCGGAGATCACCAATGGGACTGTATTCAGATCGTTCAAGGATTTGTGAGCTCCTCAAACAATACAGCATGCAGGTTAAACCCAGGATGGATCGTAGACAGGCAAGCCTGAATGTTTCTAACCGGCACAGATGTTCCATCTGAGGGGTCCACGTTTCGCAAGCATAGAGAAGAGAGTGCATGACTGTGGCCGAGCAGACCCGAAGCTTTGTGTGGAGCGACAGATCATCACCACCACCATCTTCACCACAACTACCACCACAACCAATGTCACCATCACCAGTAATATGTTTAATTGACAGGAGAGAAGCCTCATGATATTCATCACCACCATCACCAAAGACAAATATCCCCCGTAACACATTAACAGGCTGTTGGGGAAAGTGCTGTTAGCGAGCACCTATGCTGGTGGCTTCCAAAGTGGTGATATTTACGCAACATACCAGGTACTCATTTGAGGCTAAACCGACCTAGGGGAGGTCCAGGACTTGTTCATATAATCGTCACTGGTGTTGTAGCGCAGTGAGCTAACGGCTCCACTACCGCTGTTTAAATAATAGTCGAGAAGCCTCCACGATATTCATCACCATCACCACCATCACTAGCAGCTCTTGACAGGTAGGGTTTTCTTCAGAGCACGCAGGTGATGCTGCGCCAATTCCCAAATCCATTCACGAGGATTGAGAGAATAAGTGGGTGAATACATTGAGGATTTATAGACAGGAAGTGAGTATATGAATTGAAGATCAACAGACAGGAAGTGGGTGTATGAATTGAGGATTGAGAGATAGGAAGTTAGTACACATTGTTGATTAACAGACAGGAAGTGGGTGTATTATTTGAGGATCGAGATACAGGAAGTGGGTGTATACATTGAACATTGAGAGGCAGGACGTGGATGTATACATTGAACATTGGGAGGCAGGAAGTGGGTGTATAGATTGAGGATTAACTGATAGGAAATTAGTGCATTAATTGAGGCTAAACAGACAGAAAGTGAGTGCATTCATTTATTATATAATCACTGTGGTTTTCATTAGGCTCACTGGCACTGCTCGCCTCTCTCTCCGTGTGTGCGATGAAGAAGGGTCATTGCCTGAAACGTTGCCTTCTGTACACTTTTCCTTTGAATGAGGGGGTGAGTGGGGTCGCCGTGGTGACTAGCAGATGTTAACTACCTCGCCTGCTATGCAGGAGGTTTTGGATTCGATTCCAACCCTGACGCCTGCCGTATATTTTGAGTTAAAGTATCTCTGGATGTGGTTGAATGGATTTTTCTCCGGCTCCAATTTTTTCCCTCCATATTTAGAATCAACATGAATTAAGAGTATTTGGCTACTATACATTTCCACGTGATAAGCCACTATATATATCAGTAGGCTTTAACTAGTAAAATATTAAGTTTAGTTTAGTGAGGAAGTCGGTGGGTGAGTGGGTGGATGAGTGGATAGGTTGGTGAGTGGGTGAGTAAGTGGATGAGTGAGTGTGTGGGTAATATTGTAGGTGAGTGGTTGAGTGAGTGATTGGGTAATATGGTGGGTGAGTAGTTGAGTAAGTGGGTGTGTGGGTAGGTGCGTGGGCGATAGGGTAGCTGGGTGGGTGAGTTACTAAGTGAGCGATTCGGTGATCGAGTAAATACTTCCTCCTCTTGACCCTCGAGCCCAGGGTTGTGCGGGGGGGGGGGGGGGGGACAAAGCTCAAAGTTACACATCAGATTTAAACCCCAAGACCTGAAACATAAGATTCCACGCGACGCCAGTGAGTGACTGCATAGCGCAGGCTGGAACGGGAACGTACATCTAGATAGTGCAAGTCGCGAAACCAGCCATTGCCTATGGACATCTGCTGGCAGTTAACCAAAATTAGTCGGTTCTGTGTGAGTCTGTGGGTCTTTGTGGGAGTCTGTGTGAGATTGTGGGTCTCTGTGTGATGAGTCTATGGGTCTCTGTGATGAGTCTGTGGGTCTCTTTCTGAGTCTATCCGTCTCTGTGTGATGAATCTATTGGTCTCTGTAATGAGTCTGTGGGTCTCTGTGTGATGAGTCTATGGATCTCTGTGTGGCGAGTCTGTGGGTCTCTGTGTGGTGAGTTTGTGGGTCTCTGTAACGAATCTGTGTGTCTCTGTGTCAATCTGTGGGTCTTCTCCTCCCTTCTCACTCCTCATCCTCCCTGCTCCTCCTCATGCCTCCTCCTCACTCCTCACAGCTCACTAAACGGTAAGATCCACGTACGGGCTCTCCACCCCTGGCTTGGTGGTGGCGCTGTTCAACTGCGAGTCTGGGCATTCGTAGGGCGACGCCGAGTGCTGAACCTGAGCCTTGTAGTTCAGGTAGTGAGGCTCCGTCTTCTGGGCTCTTCCCTCATCGTCCAGCTGGAGATGATAGAGAGAGATGGAGAGACGTGGAGGGGAGGAGATTAGAGTTATAAAGAGATAGTAATAGAGAGAGAGATAGAGGGATATGTGGAGATGATGAGAGAGAGGTGAAGATATAGAGAAGTAGAGGAGATGAAAGAGAGATACAAAGAGGGTTAGAGGAGATGAGATAGATGCATAGATACGAGATAGAGAGAGGAGAGATCGAGAGAGAGGTGGATGAGATGAGAGAGATACAAGGAGGGGAGGAGAGATGATGGGTTAAGAGATAGGGGGAGGCACAATGAGAAACGGATATGTTGGGGAGACATGGTTCTTAGGCGAGTCTCTACGTGGGTCTCACCTCTTCGTAGATTCCATCTGCATTATCCTGATGGGGGGAAGAGAGAGATTGAGTCATGTGGGTAAATGTAACGTTCCCCGATCGTTTCAAGGAGCAATAAACCATCATCATCACATGACATAATCTTCTTTAGAACTGCTTGTTGTACAGTATTTAGGTTGTTGCCCTACATCCCCGGCACCTCCGATTAGCGCAGTTGTCTATGTACGGTGCGAAAGAAGTTCAAAACACATACTTACAAAGACAAAGATCCCATTTATAGCCTTAACAGACTGTTTGGACAAGCCCTGTTAGCGAGTAATGGCTATGAAGAAGGCCGGAACAGCAAACGAGGGGGTGGGTGGCCAGCACCATGGCCGGCCGCCTTTGTTTCAGTTACTTATATGAGGCTGAGCAGAGTGGTTGAGTGAGTGACAGAGTAGGTGAGTGGGTAAGTGAATGAGTGGGTAAGTGAATGAGTGGTTGTGTGAGTGGGAGAGTGGGTAATCTAATGGGTGAGTGAGTGGCTTAATGAGTGGGTGAGTGAGTGGTTGAAAGAGTGGGTGAGTGGATGAGTAATCTGGTGTGACATTGCCACTGGTGTTGATAATGATGATGGTGCTGATTGTACCTTCATCGCCTCGCGCTGAAACTTTATACCAGGCAGTTCATCACTCTGTGGTGAACACAGAGATCAGGTTCAGTGGATGTGTGGGTGGGTGAAAGTGTGTGAGTGAATGAGAGGGTGAGTGAGTTGGTGGGTTGTTGAATGATTGCGTGAGTGAGTCTGGCAAAAAAAACCAAGTCTCTTCGGTGGTGCCGGACGGTAACGCTGTGGTGAACAATGTCATGGGGGGAAAGGCCAATTCCAATCGGCTATTCTGCTCGTGGCATTTGTAGGCACTACAGCTGCCAAATGGGCTCTGGATAGGTACGCAGGGCTGCTAACCCCCTCCGCCTTCGATTTAATTATACAACACGTAAAATTATCAAACTAAGCTTGTGCTGGAGGCCCTGGGGGGGGGGGGGGGCGGGGGACAGGCGTCAATGACGTCTCCTGGCCAAACCCCATTTGGCAGAGCCAGGAGACTGAATCCTTACCCTCAGGATTCCTCGAGAAATAGCAAAGCTCTGCGAGTGGCCACGTGCAATGTTCGAATGCTCACTGCAGAAGAGAGGCTGCCCCTCCTCTATTGGGAGCTGGACTAGTACCCCCTGGATGTATGTGGCAATCAGGAGGTCTTGTGGACTAGCTCTGGCTTCAGTCATCATGAGGGGTGGACGTCCTCCACTCAGGGCAGAAGACTACTAAACAACAGGGAGTGGCTCTTCTTCTGAACAAAATAATTAAAGGGGCGTGGGAGCATGGCAGTGAAGTGTAGGAAGCTGTAAGTCCCAGGCTACTGTGGCTGACCGTCACATCAACGGTAGATGAGGAATGATGGTGGTGGTTGCTTCTGCCCCCACCAGAGATGAACATCAGTGGAGGGATGCAGGCAAGGCCGATGAGTGAGATGCCTTTTATGACCTGTCACAGCTGCTACCTAATGTGGTCCCTCGGGATAAATATATTCTGTTGGGTGACTATAAAGCCCAAGTGGGTCATGATGCTGGAACTTGGGCTGGAGTGATTGGAAGGCATAGTCCAAATACGCAAAATAACAATGGTAGGAGACTGCTATAATTATGTGCAGTCCATGGGCTTGTAATTACCAATCCGCTGTTCCGGCATTGGCACATCCACAGAACATCATGGATGCACGCCAGGTCCAAGCAAGAACATCTGCTGGAATATATTGTGACGGAACAGTGGATGCAAGCCCATGTCCTTGACACCAGGACCTACCATGGAGCTGATCGACCCACTTACCATCGGGTTGTCACCTGTAGGATGCGCCTGCCAATCTTCCACTCTAGTGGTGGGTGTCCATCTAGAACCCCATTAAAACCCATAGTGGCCTGGTCTCAGCTAGCCGATGAAAGTTGAAAGTGAGAATTTCATCATCGCTTGCAGCTGAGGTTGGCATCGCCCCCCTCCTCCTGAAGCAGAGCGGAAATGGGCGAGTTTCAGGACTTTGGCTCATGCAGCTGAAATGGCTGCATTGGGTACAGGGCCCAGACATCTCCAGAGATCTTGGCTGACAAAGGAGGGGTTCGGGCTGGCTGTAGAAAAAGCGACTGGCCCACTCCCACTGCCTACAGCATCCCTTGTGAGAGAATGAGGCTGATAGCAGCCTTCGCTCAGAAGTTCGGAGAGCCGTGCGGCAATGCAAGAATGGGTGGTGGTCGCGGGTTACTGATTTTCTGAGGAGATGGAGTCTGCCTCAGTAGCCAGTGATCACAAATCACTCCTTGATGTCCATCAAAAAAGTTACTTGCAGCAGGACACCTATTACCATCCTTATGGGAAAGAAAGTTCATCAGATTTCTGACCCCAGGAACAGTTGTGCAGATTTGCTGAGAATATCTGTGAGGTCTTGTGGGAGGGGAAATCCCTCAGCCTAGAAAACATCATGGGGCAAGGTGGAGATGACCCTGCTGAGGCTGCCGTGCCACCAATATTGGAGGAAGTCGCCACTCTCTGTGAGTGGCTGGTTGAGATGCCATCTTTTGAGGAAGTACGGAAGGTGATCCAAAGTCTTAGACCAGGAAAAGCGCCAGTCAGAGGATCTCCCAAGCGGACTGCTGAGGGAAGGTGGTGTTTGTTTGCAGTCATCAGAATCACAGTCTGGACCACTGGATGGGTTCCACAGGATTGGAAGGATGCACTGGTAGTCCCCATATTTAAGAAGGGGGACTAAACAGTCAGGGGCATCTCAATGCTCGGTGTGCCAGGAAAGGTCCTGGCAAGGATTATTCAACATCGCCTTGCAGGCACTTTGAGCAGAGCCTTGGGGAGCCGCAATGTGGATTCAGGCCAGGGCAGTCCTGCAAAAATGCCATATTTTCTGTCCGGCTGCTATATCCGAGGTGTAGGGATGTCCAACAGGACCCATATCTCTGGTTGATTGACCTGGCCAAGGCCCATGACACTATCAATAGGCCTACTCCCCGACTCTCTGCTCACAATCATTGAAGACCTTTATGATTGTGGGTGGGACCGGATTAAGTTACATGGCCGGAAGTCGGAGCCATTCCCTCTTCACCTTGGGGTGTGACAGCGATGTCCACTTGCGCCTACATTATTTATCATGTTTTTAGAGCACATAGTTCTATAATATTTCCATGGATGTACCAGTGGAGTTTCTCTCATACAGATACAATGGGAGGCTGATCGATGCCCAAGTGCGGTCGATGGATGGCTCCCTATTGGTCATATACAGTATGTTATGTATGCTGATGATCTGTTGATTGCTGCTCACTGAGAGAAGGAGTTAGAGGTGCTACTGCTGGACCTGGAGCGTGTTAGTAAGAGGTGGGGACTTAGCATCAGCCTCACCAAAACGAAGCACCTGCCTCGGTATTTTGTACCATCAGACACTCCACCCCCACAACTCCCAATTGGTGATGGGGCAGTTGTGGAGAGAATGGAACGTTTCCCATACCTGGGCAGTGTGCTCAGGTTGACAGCAGAGTTCTCGCTTCGAATCAGGCGAGTGGCATTATTTATTCATCGGCTGCGTAACGCTGTGTAGAAGCTACCTGGTCTATCGCAAGGCTGCATTGGTTAGGTCATGTAGCCCGCATGCCCAGCCACCGGATGCCTAAACAGCTTTTGTTGGTCCTCATAGACTAAACGGGCGTGGCATGGGCTAGAGAAGAGATGGGGTGATGTGGTACAAGAGAATGTGGAGCTAAGTGGACTTATCGATGACTGGTACCAGCGGTGTCAAGATCGGCCTCTGTGGAGGAGGCACATGAAGGACACTACTGGTCAGTTGGAGGCAGTTGCCCTCCAGCAAAAACTGAAGGCACAGGAGCGACGCTCACAACAAGCAGAGCGCTGGGCGGATAAAACGCAGCAAGTTGACACAGTAGGAGGCACAGGTGGTGCATCGGCCAGTCATCGTTGTCAGTAAACCATGGCACCTGGGTCTGTCCAATGATCTGCCAGCAGGCGTTCGACGATTTACTTGCCATTAAAGTGCACATAGCCTGGCACATGAGCTGTGGTGATGTCACCACCACTTCGTGGAAAATCGCGGTTGTGGAGTGAGGGGGTAAGTGTGTGAGTGAATGAGGGGAGTGAGTAAGGGGGTGAGTGAGTGTGTGAGATAGATAGTGGGTAATTGAGTGGGTGGGTGACCAAGATCATCCATAATATATTTTTTTTGGTTTATATCGCATAAGTATATAAATGTGTCATTAAACTCGACACTACCAGACACAGACAATTAGAAAGGGTTGTCACGTACATCCCGGTGTGCTGTACTATTAACGAATCGGCATATTCGCTTCATGTCACAAACCTTACTAATTGGCTGTGTCGGGTGGTGGCGGGTTTAACAACACATTTGTGTTTATGCGATCAAAAAAATAACTTATATTATGGATTGTCACTGTTGATGATGATGATAGTGCTGATTGTACCTCCTGCTGCACCTTCATACCAGGCAGTTTACCAGGCACCTGTGATGAACACAGAGATCAGATTCAATGGCCGTGTGGGTGGATGCATGTGTAAAGTAGTCACTTGGCGGGAGACGACTTTGACGGGTAGCACACCTTTTTATTAACACCAAACTGTTACACGGGTGGCAACTGCCACATAACCCACGAGGTTCCCCTGAGCTATACCCACACGGGCTCTCACGCCCCGTAGCTTCTTGGAACACACCCGGCTAGGTTATTAGCCTCGACTCTGGGTCCCACAACCTGGTTCCACATGGACACCAGGCCCCGGGTCCCACAGCCTCGCCTCTGAGCCGCACAGGGTCCCGGCCCTTACAAGGACAGCGGGGCTAGGGGTCTCAGGGCCCTATCTCTTCAACTCCGTCTTCGATCTTCAGCTGGTAATAACTCCCCGAGTGCTCTCGCGCGTCCCCCTTTATAGTCCTCCATGCGGACGTCGCTGAGAGCCCCCACCCAAGTTGACCAATCACCCAGCGCTCTCCCCACGATCCTGTTTCCCATATCGTGTCTGCGTGCACAACCACGCACCCAGCGCCGCCCCGTGATCCATCACTGTCAGTGTGCGTCAACACCCCCACACTCGATGTAGCCACGCCCGGCGCGCGCACACCCACGCCCCCACCTTGTCGGCGCGTACCGCCACTACATCACCCCCTACCACATAGCTCGCAGCCGACCCGGCTGCTAAAAACATTTTTATTTCCCCCCACAATTAGTGTGTGCCCCGTAACACCAACAACAATTACAACAACACAATAAGAACTCCGCCCACCGTAAGCAGAGCATATCACCGCAACAACAGAACAATATATACAAGCGGCGAGAGACAACAATAAACGTATATACAAAAATGACTCGTGCAGCGTCCCTTCATTTTCCGACCACCCCTTGAACGGGGCAATGTACTGGGCAGAAGGGGAACGTGGCGCCGAGCCGCAATCTCGGGCCCCCCCCCCCCCCCCTTCAGGAAAAGTGGCTAGTCTTAGCACGAGTCCGCCTGGCCGGTCCGTCGTACGGAGCCAGACGCGGTCGACCGTCCGGTGGTGCCGGCAGTCCAGGGAGGCACGGGGCAGGTATTGTAGATCCGTGCGTGCCTCGGGATTCCGGCTCTCGGTGGTCAGCCGCCGTCAGGTCCGCGACACCTGGGAGTAGGTCAGGCGGAGACACGTGAGGATCAGACTGCGACACCTCCCACCCCGAGCCGACGGCCCCATCACACGCTCGGTCGTTACGGCACACAGGGAGGTCATGGGTTTCCGCGAAAAGTTTCAGCCGGGAGGGGTGTACGTACCAACGGCGTTTTCCCCATTTAATCTGGATACACTGGGGTCGCGCAATACGCACGATTTCCACCGGTCCCCTCCATGGTCTCAACAACTTAGGGGACGTGGCCAACGGTGCATGTGGACAATGCAGCCAGGCCTTATCGCCTGTTTTCCAATCGTGCGTATACACTTTCCGTTCATGCAACCTTTCGTTAGCGACCTGGCGCGACCTTGAATTTAACCTTGCAGCCTCTCGCGCTTCAGCCAGCTTGGCGATATTAAATTTGATGTGGTCGGCCAATTTGGATTTCGCACGTGGCTGGGAAATCCCCAGTTGGACATCCATAGGCGGATCAGCCTCCCGCCCATACATGAGAAACAATGGGGAAAACCCCGTTGCCGCATGGGGGGCCATACGATAGGCCGCGAGTACCCTGGGTACCTGTAAGTCCCAATCAACCTGATCATTGCAGACCTGTTGGCACAGCATAGAAGTAATCGTTCTGTTTAGACGTTCAACCATTCCATCAGTCTGCGGGTGGTACGGGGAGGTACGCACTTTTTTTGTACCCAACAGGTCACACACCTCGCGCAACAAAACGCTCGAAAAATTCTTCCCTTGGTCCGTCAGCAAGCGTTCTGGGGCGCCTTTGTCCAAAACGTAGCCCTGGACAAAGGCGTCCGCCACCGCCGCAGCCGACTGGTTGGCGAGTGGCCACGCCATAGGCCATCGGGTGAAGTACTCTACGCCGACCAGCAGGTATTTGTTACCCCTAGGTGTAGCGGGAAAGGGCCCCAAAATGTCGAGCGCAACCAATTCGTTCGTGCGCGAAACCTGAATGGATTGTAGCGGTGGATTAGCCGCAATCTGTGGATGTTCTCCACGTCGCTCCCCATACCCGGCCAATAATAGTCCCGTTGGAGTAGGGCAAGCGTTTTGTGAAATCCCAAATGCATGAGGCGTTCGTGAGCAGCCAGAACGACCCTACCCCGTAAAGCAGATGGCACAACGAGCGTATGGCGCCGGGACATATTGTCCCACTTCATCAGGAGGCCCTGTCTGACCACCCACGAACTGACCCCCGTCACCCCCCCCTCGGGAGCCTCCGCCTTTCGCCGTAGCGTGAGTAGGGAGCTGTCGGCCATTTGGAGACGGCCCCACTCGATAAGAGGTAACGCGAGCAGCGAGTCCCCGCCCGTGGGAGCGGCGGTCAAAACGACCTCTGGAGCATTAGTGGCGGCGAGCAAAACTCCCGCGCGAGCGGCGACAGGGGGTTTACACCGCGCCGATCCCAGAAGACACGCGCATTCCGAGCGAGGCGGCAACCGCGACAAGGCATCCGCATTCGAGTGCCGCAATCCCTTTCGGTAAATCGTCGTGAACTGGTAGTCTTGTAGGACCTCCAGCCATCGGGACAATTGGCCGGAGGGTTGCGCCACCCGCATTGCGTATTGGAGAGCCGCATGGTCCGTACGAACAGTAAAATGACGTCCGTAGAGATACGGTCTGAATTGCTGTATAAAGAAAACGATCGCAAGCAATTCACGACGAGTCACACAGTAGCGTTGTTCTGCAGGTGACAGAACTCTACTACCGTAGGCGACCACCCGTTCGACCCCCCCCGACCACCTGTGAGAGCACTCCCCCGATACCCGTGTTACTGGCATCCGTGTCAAGCAGAAACGGTTGCGTGAAATCGGGGTAACACAAGGGGGGAGCTCGCACCAAGGCGTCCCTAAGGGAGCAGAACGCGGCCTCCTCATCTGGGCCCCAGTGAAACCTTACCCCTTTAGCCGTCAAAGCGTGTAGGGGCCTGGCAATGGTGGCAAAATGTTCGACAAAACGGCGGTAGTAGGAGGCGAATCCTATGAAGCTGCGGACTTCAGTGACTGAGGTTGGCGTTGGCCATGAGCTGACACAGTGCGTTTTAGCAGGGTCCGTGGATATCCCTGAACGGCCAACAATGTGGCCCAAGTACCGGACCGATTCCCGGAGCAGGTGACATTTCGCGGGTTTAAATTTTAATTTAGCGGAACGCATCCTGAGGAACACCCCTCTCAACCGCTGGAGGTGCTCCTCGAAAGTCCGACTGAAAACGATGATATCATCGAGATAAATCAAACAGGTGTCCCATTGGAGTCCTGACAAAACCAATTCCATGAGCCTCTGGAACGTGGCGGGAGCGGAATGTAAGCCCATGGGCAATCGATTGAATTCAAATAGGCCTCCTGGTGTCCGGAAAGCGGTCTTAGGTTTTGATTCCTCATCGAGGGGCAATTGCCAAAATCCTGAAAGCAGGTCAAGCGTCGAAAAATACTGTGCTCCCGCCAAGGCATCCAGCGACTCATCCATCCTGGGTAGTGGATACGCGTCGGCCATAGAGATTTTATTTAGGCGGCGAAAATCCACACAAAACCGCAAGGAGCCGTCCTGTTTCTTAACAAGGACAATGGGAGCCCCCCACGGACTGGAAGAGGGCAAAATGATGTCGGCAGCCAGCATGTCGTTAACAGCCGATCTCACATGTTCCTTCTCGGCCGGGCTGAGCCGGAAGGGATTTTGCCGAATGGGGGCCGCATCACCGGTCGCTATGTGGTGGCGCAACAAATCCGTGCAGCCAATATCGTACTTATGTCTGCTAAAGATGTCGGCAAATTCGAGTAGCAGGCCCCTCAACGCTCCCAACTGCACACTAGACAAGTCACTAGACCCAACACACAACGAGTCGAGCCATTCTGTCCCCTCTTCCGATGGAGGGTGTGTATCGAGGCTGGAGTCGGCATGCGCAACGAGCCCTCCGTCGACTGGTAGCGGCGCCGCGTGAGCCAGCACCGTGCCCTGAGTAATTACAGCCGTCCGCGGCCCCGTATTCAGAACCATCACGAACGGATCTCTGTCCGCCCGCACCATGGTCTGAGCTACTGCTAAGTCGAGGCCCCCAACTGCTCTGTTAGATGGCCCTAACAGGACACCCTGGTCCCCCCCGTCGATCCCGAGGGGTTTTCGCAACCGCAGGGGTACCAACATTTGCGATCCCGGGGGCACCCGCACAGTCTGAGTTGCCAGCGCCTGAACCGTTGCACAAACCGTGCGTATTTTGGTAGGACTCGTTAAAAATGCAACCCGCCGACCCGACGGAAGTTCAATGCAGGCTTGATCAATGAGAATTTTAATGGGCATTTTAGCCAAAAAGTCCGTGCCCAGTAAACAAGGGACTGCCAGAGACGATGACACAAAAATGGGACCCGCCAATTTGATATCACCAATACAAATAGTGGCCCGAATCTGTCCGATTATTCCCAAGGATCCTCCGTTCGCTGCGTAAAACGGTACGTCCACCGGGAGAAGGGGTCAGCATTGGATGGGAAGGATGTTATAAATAAGGTCCGAAATGATGGTGGCCGACGCACCCGTGTCCACCAGCACCCGGACCTCGACCCCGTCAATAAACCCCGTTACTACGGACGACCCGGCCGACGCAGCCACTATCCTGTGGGCCAACTCTGACCATTCGACTGCCCCCGGCCCGTGTACGAACCCCCCTCGCCGAACCGAATCCCCGGTACCCATACGCGGTCCCCCCACCGCGAAGCGGCGACCCGAGTGTGCCGTGTATGTGGACCAAGCGTGTGGGGTGCCGCGACTTGCCGGAGTTTGCTGGGACGACTTGGGGCCTTGGTCGTCGTCCGGACGTGGTCCCGAGGCGCGCTGACGCGGAGCCCGGCACCCGGACGCGACGTGACCCCGGAGGCCGCAGTTGTAACACAAGACCATGGACGTCGTAGGTTTCGGTTGCTCCAGCTTGCGGGATCGTACGGGCGAACGACCCCCCGATCTCCACTCCCCCGGTCTTGAGACGGTGAAGGCCTCCTCCCGAACCGTAGCAGTCTGAGGCTCGGCGCCCGTCGCGGCTGGTGTCGCGATCCCCGCCGATGCACAGATGACCGTCCGCTTTCGCTTGAGGACCTCGTGTGCGTGAATACTTGTCGCCACCCCCAAGGAGCAGATGTCCATCTCGTCGGCCGTATTTATGGGCACTCCCAGACCGTGAGCCAACGCCAGCAGCTGCTCCGTCACCATGGCGTCCTTCCCCTCCTTGTCCATGCGTGGAAAGGCGGCGTCCGCCAGGGCGAGCAGCGATGTGCGATAGGCGAGTGTAGTTTCTCCATCCACCTTACGTCGTTCGTAAAATTGGTGGCGACAGGTCGAGGGCGGTCCGAACACCTTAGCCATGAGATGTAGCGCGGCCTGGAGCGTAGAGCGGGACGACCTTGGGGCGGATGTGAAGGCCGCAAGTGCGTCGTTGTCGAGCATCGCCGGCAGCGCGCTTAGGGCAGTGGTGTCGGACCACCCCGACATCTCCTGATGCGCGAGGAACCTTCGTTGGAAGGCCCCCCAGTCGCCCCCGTCCGCCTTGAACGCCGTGAGCGCGGGCAGTCTCTGTTGGAGGACCTGGTCGTCGTCCCCCGATGAATGCTTTTCCCGCGCACCGCTGTAGTCAATGAAAATGTCGGCTCCGTCGGCAGGCGCATGGTGGAGAGTGTCGTCGCGCGCCAATGACGCGGGCTGTGTGGAGTGGAGGTCCCCGAGCACGTGGTGTCCACGCTTCCCGCCAATTGCAGGTGGACCCTCGAAAATGGCGCCAATTTCAAAACTTTTGGCGCGAAGCGCGTTCTGGCGGGATCCCTGCGTCCGCACTCCCTCCTCCACCCTCGTAGTCGCCGTCCCGCCTCCTGAAGCCGTGATTTCGGACAAAATCGAAGGGGCGGCGAGCAACAACTCCGCCAGGCGGGAGTGTGCTTCCTGAAGGCCGGTGTTGGAGGCGAGCGGAGCGTCGTCCATCGCCGCGCGGTGCTGCATCGGCGGCATCTCATCTTCCTCGCCTCCCGATGCTTGTGGCTCCGGTACGTCATCGTCTTCCCGATCTCGGTCGTGGGTTCGGTTGTCTTCCTGGTATCCATAGTTTGTAAAGACAGGTTTACTTCTGACGCCAGTTGTAAAGTAGTCACTTGGCGGGAGACGACTTTGACGGGTAGCACACCTTTTTATTAACACCAAACTGTTACACGGGTGGCAACTGCCACATAACCCACGAGGTTCCCCTGAGCTATACCCACACGGGCTCTCACGCCCCGTAGCTTCTTGGAACACACCCGGCTGGGTTATTAGCCTCGACTCTGGGTCCCACAACCTGGTTCCACATGGACACCAGGCCCCGGGTCCCACAGCCTCGCGTCTGAGCCGCACAGGGTCCCGGCCCTTACAAGGACAGCGGGGCTAGGGGTCTCAGGGCCCTATCTCTTCAACTCCGTCTTCGATCTTCAGCTGGTAATAACTCCCCGAGTGCTCTCGCGCGTCCCCCTTTATAGTCCTCCATGCGGACGTCGCTGAGAGCCCCCACCCAAGTTGACCAATCACCCAGCGCTCTCCCCATGATCCTGTTTCCCATATCGTGTCTGCGTGCACAACCACGCACCCAGCGCCGCCCCGTGATCCATCACTGTCAGTGTGCGTCAACACCCCCACACTCGATGTAGCCACGCCCGGCGCGCGCACACCCACGCCCCCACCTTGTCGGCGCGCACCGCCACTACACATGTGTAATGGTGTTGTTGGATGGACGTGCACCATCTCCGGTTAGCACCCAATGATTACCTGTAGGGGGCAATCACGATATACCTAGCCTCGGGCAAGGGAGGGCTGTGGGGTGTCCTGGGATCCCCTGGGACCCCTCCCGGGGGGGAGGGGGCTGTGGGGGGTTTGGATTGAGTAAATGGGTGGATCAGGGAGAGGGGAAGCGAGTGTGTGAGTAAATGAGTGGGAGAGTGAGTGGCAGAGAGAGTGAGTGAGTGGGTAAGTGAATGGGTGAGTGAGTCAGTGAGTGGGTCAGTGAGTGTGTGAATGAGTTCATCAGGCAGATGTGATGAACACAGATCATATCAGTGGGTGGGTTCGCAATGGCTGTGTGGGAGGGTGGGTTCACAATGACCGTGTCGGTGGGTGGGTTCACAATGGCCGTGCCAGTGGGTGGGTTCACCATAGCCGTGTCGGAAGGTGGGTGTGGCATAGTGCATGAGGCATACCCATTAAGCTGGAGAGAGAAACTCGTGTCCTTGGGCGCGGTCCTTTGTGTGGAGCCAGGAGCAGCCACAGCGTGGTCATACCGGCGTTGGGACAGGTTTTGAGTGGAACAGGCCAACCAGTGGGAGGGAATCTCAGACCATTTATAGTCGGACCTCTCACGTGATTGACTCAGGGGCTAAACAATGGGCTGAGAGCAGCACTATAAAAGGAGCACTCAAGTCGGCAGTGGGGGGTGGGACGAGCTGGATGAGCTACCACCCTCTCAAGCAGCAACACGAGTGAGGACCAGAGGATCTTCACTGTAAGTAGCAGTTGACAGCTCTCTCCCACTCCATGGAATATATATTTTATAGGGAAACGTTAGGTGACGTTAATATTATTATCTGTTTCCAGTGGCCGATCTGGGGATTGATCCAAGGCAGGTGGGACTTCTGGGATGGAGCAAGGGCATGACAGGAGCGGCAGAAGCGGGGAACCAAGTGGACTGCAGCCTGGCACTAGCCAATCATGGAGAGTGTTGCCATCTGGTTCCCTGGGTGGCTGCTTGGCTGACTGTTGACATCTCCCACTGCTCGAAAAGGAGATAAGCTCGAGGCACGAGCTGCCCACTGCGAGGGGTTAGCAGGTGAGCGGTGGATACCCCCGAAGAGAAACACAGAGCCGTCTGTAAAGCAGATTTGTATGTGGGAGAGAAGGGAGGTGTATTATCTTCTCCCCTAAAGTTTATCTGTGAGTCTCAGGAACGCATTAGGAACACTAGGTGTGGTTGGATGTTTGTGAGTGGTTTTCTGTTTATTCTATTCATTTTATTTTCTTTGTGGTAGCCTACTACCAGGCTATAGCTCCTGCTTGGGGTGGTTGGTGTCATCTTATGTAGAAATAAAAGCTGACATCCCTAACAGCCAGGTATCTTAGTGGTCTAACACCACTTCGACTCTGCACCCCAACCGTCAGCCCTCGTGGATAGGCAACGTGACTGTGGGTTCGCAATGGCCATGTCTGTTGGTGTGTTTGCGATATCCGTGTCAGTTGGTGGGTTCACTTAGTCCATATCGGTGGGTGTATGGGTTCATGATAGCTGTGTTCGTGGGTTCACGATAGCTGTGTTCGTGGGTTGGTGGATTCACGATGTCCGTGTCGCTAGGTGGGTTCACGATGGCTGTCAGTTTGTGGGTTCAGGCTGGCCGTGCCGGTGGGTGGGTTCAGGATGGCCGTGTCTGTTGGTGGGTTCACAATGGCCGTGTCGCTAGGTGGGTTCAGGATTGCCGTGTCGGTGGATGGGTTCACGATGGCCGTGTCGGTGGATGGGTTCACGATGGCTGTGTCGGTGGATGGGTTCACGATGGCTGTGTCGGTGGGTGGGTTCACGATGGCCGTGTTGGTGCGTGGATTCACGATGGCCGTGTCGATGGGTGGATTGATGATGGCCGTGTCAGTAGATGAATGGGTTCACGTTGTCCGTGTCCATGGGTAGGCTCACCGGCAGTTGGCCCCGGCCAACTGGACTCGGGATGTATCGTGAGGGATCCTCTGTAGCAGAGGTGTTTTGACGCTTCTGTAGGGCATGGGGCTGGGGCAGGAGAGGAGGGAGGGGGAGGTGGAGGATCGGTTTTTGAGAGAATGAATAGGGAGTGAGTTGGTGAGTGAGTTGGTGAGTGAGTCGATGAGAGATTGAAGAGTTGGTGAGTTAGTGAAAGATGGAATAGTGAGTAAGAATGTGATGGTGAATAGTGAGCATGTTGTTGAGAGAGAATAGTTAACGAGTTAGTGAGCGATTTATTTGTGAGTGCGTTGGTGAGAGAGTGGATAACGTGTGAGTTGGTGAGAGAATGAGTGACATGGTGAGTGAGTGAATAGAGAGGGAGTGACATGGTGAGTGGATAGCGAGTGAGTTGGTGAGACAGTGAGTGACATGAGCTGTGAGAATTTGTTGGTGTTGATGATGATTATGATGATGACGATGATGATCATGCTGTTGATGACTATGATGATTATGACGATGATGATCATGACTATGATGATCATGCGGATGATGACAATGATCATGACGATGATCGTGATGATGTGATGACGAGATCTTTAATTACCAATGCTCACCTCATTGCGTCGCTTGCAGTAGCAGACGCTGAGCGTGATGACGAGGATGAGCAGAACCCCAGCTCCCACCCCGACTCCCACGCCGATTCCCAGGGCAGAGCTTTGCGTGGTAGTCTGGGGGTGGGAAGACGCGTGGGGGGGGGGGAGACACGGGGCGGGGGGGGGGGGAGACGCGGGGAGGGGGGGGCAGATGCGGGGGGGGGGGGGGGAGACACGGTGGGGGGGGAGAGATGTGTGGGGGAGACGCGGGAGGGAGATGCAGGGGGGTGGGGATGTGGAGGGGGGTGAATCGGGGTGCTGACCCCATCCTACCAGTGTGCTTAACCCTCATAGGGGAAAGTTCCGCCCGCGTGTCGTGTGTGGGTGCTGATGGTATGTGTACAATATTATTCTACTCACTGTAGGTCGAGTCGTCGTCGTCACCTGCAAAACAACATAATCGTCCTAATTAGTAACATCATCGTCAGCAGCATCATCATCAACATCATCGTCAGCAGCATCATCATCAACATCATCATCATCGTCAGTAGCATCATCAACATCATCATCATCGTCAGCAGCATCATCTACATCATCATCATCATCGTCAGCAGCATCATCATCAACATCATCATCATCGTCAGCAGCAACATCATCATCGTCAGCAGCATCATCATTGTCAACAGCATGATCATCACTGGGGCGGGCAGGCGTGATGCTGACCACCCACCCCCTCGTTTGCCACAATGCCGGCCTTTTTAGGTGCTTCTTCTTTTGTACAACGTCACGTTCAGGTGATCAAAGCCAGTAAAACCTCGTTAGGAGTAAGCGCAGTTAGTGAGTGTATCATCGTTGCTCTCCAGTGTATTTTCACTATTTTTTTCAGGGGGGGGGGGTGGGGTGGGACATTTGCCGAAAATACATCAGCAGTGTGAGTGAGGGGCCACGCCACACGTTTAGGAACAACCATTGGGGGATTTGAAAGCAAGCAGCACGATGTTGATGGTGATGGGGAGGGAGGGGGGTTTGGTGTAGTCCCTGTTTGCGTGTTGTTGGGGGTGGTCGCACGTCAGGGGCCCATGCTTAAAGGGCCACCAGGGGGGCAGCCAGTGGCCCCGCGGGGCCTTGCGATTGTAATGACAAGGTGCCATCTGTTGACCAAGCGGGGTAATCACGAGTATGGGTGTGTTTATATAATAACCAACTAGAAGAGGGGCGTAACTGTGTTAAAGATAAAATTCGGGGTCAGACGGAACCTGCTCGAAGGTTCTAGAAGGGGGCGTGGCCGGAGGCGGGGCCTGGCCACACTGGGAAGTATATAAAGGGGACGTGACCGAAGGTTCGGGGCTGTCCTTGGGTCCGGGTCTTGGCTGCTGTCGCTGTCTTCATCGTTATTTTTCTTCATCGTCCGGCCGCATGGCCGATCCTTTGCATGGCTCTTATCATCGTCGTCGCTATCTGAGTCAGCCAGCTATATAGATAGATGCCGACAATGGGGCTGTGTCGATGGGTCAGCTATGCGTAGCCGTGTATATATATATATGTCGCCCAATGACTGTGCCTAAAGTGTGAGAAATAAATAAGGTAAAGGGGGGTTTTACCAATTGATAGAATTAATATCCCACCAAGCAGTCTTCATCGTCAAAGCGTGTTCAGAAGAAAGTGACATTTGCAACTCCATTAGTTCAGACTACATAATGACGGGGAAAGTTTATTATAAGAAACTTAGCCGTCCTTGTTCGTACCGTGTGTGGAGGCAGTGCGTGTGTGGAGGCAGTGTGTTTGTGGAGGCAGCGCGGGTGCAGGGACAGTGCATGCTCTAGTGGTCACTAGGGGTAATTAAAGAAAGGGGGCGTGGCCAGGAGCGGAGCGAGGGCCACGCCGGGGATAAAAGGAAGAGGCGAGGTTCGGGGCTGGCGTGAAGTCGGGGTCGACTGTTTTCACGCCGTCGCTGTTTTTACATCATCGCTGTCTTCAGGTCGTCGCTGTCTTAATATCGTTGCTGTTGTTGCAGTCTTCATATTGTCGATGTCTCTGCGTCGTCGCCATTTGCTTGCCATACCTGACCCAAGTTATCTGCGCGTCATCCCTGGCCAAGTCAGGTTATCTGCGTGTCATCCCTGACCAAGTTATTTGATTGAAGCATCCTAAATAATACGTAAAAGAACCCTATACAGTTTGTGTTGTCCGAGAATCATTACACTAGTATGGGTGCGGAACGTTAAAAATCGCCACGGCCCATGGGGGAAAGAGATTCATGTCTGGTATGTGCCATATGCACAACCACCCTGCCTGGTCTGGTCGGGACAAACCCTTGTGGAGTGGGGGGCTGGTTTGAAGGGGGTGGACTATAACGGTGTGGCCCAGCACTGTTGTGCAGTGGAGAGTCGAGGTGGCTGAGTTTACATGAGGTAAAGGGGGGTGGTGAGGGGGGAGAATCCTCTAAAAACCCCAACTTCTGGAAGCAACGGCGCCGTTCGGTCTGGTTTTAATTGGCGGCAGGTGTTGCCAATTAAAAGTTTAATACAGTACAACGAATTTTCGAGGTTCCGATTCGAGGACGCTGCATGTGCCAAGTTGATTGACATCATTCCATAGGCAAGAGATGAATGTCTACTACTCAGCAAGAGGCAGCGGATTGGCTGCTCATGAGGGAGAGAGGCCGTGAAGGTGGGACTACATTTGTGGACTTCAGCGGACACCACTGGACTACAGGGGAAGATGACGACCTACGATCACCACGACTACAGGACTCCAGGAGAAACCAGCGATTACTACCGCGCAGACGGCTCTGAGACCCAGGCTGCAGCCCTGTTGAGTTGTTCAACGTGGGGATAGAGGAGCCGGCCGGGTCCCTGGACTGTCGTCGCGTGGAGTCTCAACTTCACAACCACGACTGCAGCTGCGCAGATTTGTTCAACGTGTGGTTGCAGGCTTCAACCAAGTACAAAGGCCGTCTTTTGAGTTGATCCTTCAAGAATACAACTGTAAATGCAAAACAAGATACTCCAGTTGGGTCCTGGGAATCCTTGAGGCTGCACACGATCCTGACTGCAGATTCGTTTACTTATGCTGATTTATGCTGCTTTTTCGCTTTATTCAAGATTGGAATGTGTGAGTGTACGAACGGTCGTCGTGTTTTTTGTATGGTTTATTACCATGGTCCTCTGTTATTGTCACCACACGGGGGCGATGCGTAGCCGTGTGTTCGAGTTTCGAGCAAGTTCCAAGGAGTCGGTTCGATTCAGCATTCGGTAATTTTTGACACGCGATGACACTGCGAGAATTTTTAAAAGTATTTGACTGATTGTTCTGAAGTTGTTGTCACGCGATTGACGCTGTGTATAGTTGAACAGTTTATTTAGAATTTCCCTTTGAGCTACGAAGCTCTTGAATCGGGTTTTATCAACCAAACCAAAAAACTGTTAAATAAAAAAAGACATTTGCAACAGGTCGCATAAACATTATAAATACATAAATACAGCAATTAAAAAAGTCAACAAGTAAAAAAAATGTACAATATATTACCTATAAATTTAATATTTTACTAAAGTGAACATTAACATTAGAGAAACATTGCAGATGCGGTAAGTTATTTTCCACCAGTGTTTGATTCGCGTCCTTGAACAAAGTGTCATACATTCTAAATCTTGTTAAGACTGTATTCCGGATTGCGTTATTGTATGCCACTATTAAAGTATGTTCAAAAGTCCACATTGGTGCCCTTGAGGGAATTGTATGGGAGAGAGAATGGAGGCGAATCCCTTCTCACTCCAATCTTAATAAAAAAAAGAGCAACCCTCACAATAGCATAGTGTATAATAGTGTAGTGTATATTCTTGGTTATTTCAGTAAAGTTACGTAGAAAAAAAAGTATTATTTTATTATTTCCCTTCTATGTGACTTTACCGAAAGAACCAAGAATATGAATCCCTGCAGTCACGAAAGCTTTAAATCAAAAGTGTAGTGTATAGTCTAGTGTAGTGTGTGTGTCTGTATGTATGTTCATCTTCTTACGCACCTTTTGTAGCAAACCATGCAAATGGGATGTGCTAAACCCATGCTGCGGGTGAGATGAATTCTTAGAGGGAAAGGCCCATGCACGTGTAGTGTGCGTGCATTTTCTGATGGAATGTGTGCAACGTTCTTCTACTCACTAAAGTTGGCGGGATTGTGGTATCCTGCAAAAACAGCATAATCAGCATCATCAGTAACATCAATCATCAGCGATATTGAAAACTTAATTTTTTCTATTTTTTTTATTTTAACATATAAGGCACACTGAGTTATATACCTCTTTTACAAAGTGACTTGGCTATCACAAATGGTAGCTCAACGAATTGGCTCATCATCGTCGTCGTGTGTAAATGTATAGTAGCCAAATTACTCAATCGCATGATGACGTTGATTCTAAATGTGGAGGGAAAAACCGGAGAACCCGGAGAAAAATCCACGCGACCACCACGGGCAAAGAGACATGCAAACTCTATTTTTCAGCGGGCCTCAGGGTCGGGATCGAACCCACGAACTTCTGTATACGAGGCCAGGTAGTTAACATCTCGCATCATCATCGTTGCTGTAATCGCCACCACCATTATCATCAGCCCCAGCAACAACATCACCACCATCACAACCACCGACAAAAAAACAACAACCGTCGTCTGTCACTAAGTGGCAATGACATCACCATGGCGTTGTGTCAGGTTTGGTGCACCTTGAGGCCACGTGACGTATTGTGATATGAGGTCATGGGATAGATCCAGGTGCTTTGGATTGACTAACAGATGCACCACCACCTGTGTTCCCGACTGCGTTTTAGCCTCCCAGCGCTCCGCTCGTTGTTTTGAGCATCGCTCCTTAGCCCTTCAATGTTTCTGGAGGGCGACTGCCTCTAGCTGACCAGTAGTGTCCTTCAAGAGCCTCCTTCATATATTTCTTTAGAACTACTTTTTGTATTTAGTTTGTTGTCCTTTCCGATTACCACGGTTAGCTACGTATGGTGCAAAATAAGTTAGTTATACATACATATGTCGAGGTCGATCTTGACAACACTGTTACTGTACGCATCATCCTATCTCTCTACTCTAGCTCATGACGTGCCCTTCAAGCCCCCTCTATTCATTCAAAGATAACCTGCTTTGTTGGGAATACATCATCATGCGAATTCCGGTCATCCTCGCAGCGGCATTTGGCTGGCCATCTAACAAAAAAGGTCACTGCATCGCGTGCTTTGAGATGCGCTTCTGCAGCCGTCTGTAATGTTCTTCCTTCCGATATGAGGAAGGAAATGGAGCTATGCACTTTAAAATCATCTAGATTGAAAACTAATTTCTTTTCGAACTGCTTTTTGTGTTTAGTTGGTTGTCCTTCCCCTGCACCTCCGCTTTGCACGTTTGGCTATGTACGGTGCGAAAGAAGTTCAACATACATACTACTATACACTACACTGCTATATACTGAACGACTATGCACTACACCACTGCAATTAGCACGGTTCGCTGAATATGGTGTGATAAAAGTTCAATAAACACAGTAAAGCCTCGCCTGCCGAAGCTCACTTTCCAGCAACTATGAGCTCCTCACAAAATCTAGACTAGTTCAAGCCCAGGATGGATTGTAGGCAGGCTAGCCCTGAAGCTTCGAGAAGGGAGTGCATGACTGACCGAGAAGGGCCGGAGTTTTGTATTGAGTTATCGGGCAGGCAGCTTCCACACAGCGTGCTGCCTGGCAAAGCGGCGATGTTGAATACTACTCCTTCCCAGGACCTTTCCCGGCCTCGCCCTAAGGAGGGAGATGCCCCCTTAGTTATTACAATTGGCATGGTCCCCCTTGTTAAAGAGGTGGACCACCAGGGCATCCTTACAATTCTGCGGAACCTGTCCAGTGGTCACTGTTATAATGCTGTGATTATAGGGCAGTCTGTACACAAACACCACCCTCTCACTCAGCAGTTCCCTTGTAAGATCATCTCTGCCCGGTGCTTTTCCTGCTTTCCGACTCTGGATCTCTCTTCATACTTTCTCAACAAATGGCACCTCAGCCAGCCACTCACAGGGAGTGGCTACATCCTCCAATATTTGATACACTACAGCCCCAGCAGCGTCAACCAAACATTTCCCCCGTGATATATCTGTGCTGAGGAAATTTTCCTCCTCCAATACCTTGCAAAAATGATTGGAAAACCTGCAAACGTGTTCCTAGGGGTCTGACCTTGGTTCACTATTTCCCTTCGTATGGCATTGCAAGTTACTTTTTTGATTGAAGTAAAAAGTGATTTATGATCAGAAGCTTCTGAAGCAGATTTCATCTCCTCAGGAAACCGCAACCACCACTCATCCATTCAGCACAGCACAGCTCTCTGAACTTCCGGGCGAAGGCTGGTGTAAGCCTCCTCATTATTTGACTTATGATGCTGTTGACGTTGGGAGTCGGCCTGTCGTTATCTCGCAGGCATCCGAAACACCACCTCTGTCAACCTTTGCATATCCATGAGCCAACGTCCTCTGAAGCTCTATCATTTCCCCTCGGTATCATGAGGTATGTTGGAGGGGGGGGGGCGGTCGATGCCAAACCCAGCTTCAATTAGTGATGAGATTCTCGCATCTAACTTTCATCAGCTAGCTGAGACCAGGCCACTGTGGGTTTGAATGGCGTCCTAGATGGACGTCCACCGTCGCAGTGGAAGAATGGCAGGTGCATCTTACAGATGACAAGCCAATGGTCAGTGGGCATATCACTTCCATGGAAAGTCCTGGTGTCAAGGAAATAGGCCCGCGTCCGCTGTTTTTTCACTATATAGTCCAGCAGATGTTCTTGCTTGACGTGATGTGCATCCACGATGTTGTGTGGATACGCTAATGCCGGAACAGCGTGTTGGTGATTACAAATCTGCGGCTGCACAGAAGTCTAGAAGTCTCCTGCTGTTGTAATTGAACAGATTTGACCCATGCCTTTCAATTATGCCAATCCAGGTGTCTGGATCATGACCTTTTTGGCATTAAAGTCACACAACAGGAGGACTCCATCCTGAAGAGCCACTTCAGCTAGCACATGTGATAGAAGGTTCTAGAAGGCACCTGACTCATCAGCCTTGCCTGCATCCCTCCACTGATGTCCATTTTCTGTGGGGGGGCATAAGCAACTACCACCACTATTCCTTGTGCCATGTTGATGAAGCAAACCAACAGTAATCTGAGACACAATGAAGGGAACGGCTGATTGGTATCAGCCTCTCCACCAATGGCATTGCTCACAGCCACAACAGCGTTACCGACCGGCAGCTATCACCACTATCACAGCCACCATCACCACTATCACCACCATCATCAGTATCATCACAACCACTGACCCATTCACTCATCATACACTCACTCATCATACGCTGACTCACTCACACATCATGCACTCACTCACACTACGACTGACTCACTCACATATAATACGTTGGGAGTGACTCATGCTTACAGCTATGGATGCAAGTTTGGTCGTACATGTTATGTATATTGTTGATTGATAAATTTGAATCACAGTTTCTATGATCACTTTTACATTGTTTTTTTTTAGCTTATTTTGGTGATTTCGAAAACATGGTTAAGCCATGTTTCTTGCGGAAGTGCAGAGTTGGCCTGATAACTTTTATCTAAATTGTCTTATGTTTGTTATTGTTTGACTTGCATCACACTGGAATTTTTGCACACAGCGTTGTAATACTGTGTTTTTTTCTGGAATATTTGCTGGTTTATCCAGGATGTTTCTGTTGCACGTCGTCGCTTTAAGATGTTCTCCGTTCATAATTTGTTTGTTGCGGTTGCACCCGACTCAAGAGCCTCATGGCTCACAGGGCTATACCTAATAAATTAAACTTGAAACTTTAACTATCACCACCACCGTCATCAGTATCATCAACACCATAACAGCAACCATCACCACCATAACCACTGACCGTTGGGTAGGGTTCACACGCATCTGAGGAGCTGGCTCCAGAAGGTCGGGTGAGATTAAACTGTTGAGACATCATCAGCAAAATAATAATTATCAGCTGCAACATCATCAGCAGCATCATCAGCAACATCAAAAATATAACTAACATTATCATCAGCAGGAGCATCAAATACGTACCTTGTAGGCAATGATGGCTAAAGTCTGCGGGACAAGAAACAGGACATCGTCATTAACATCAATTCTATAATCAACAAGAGCGGCCTTTGGCCACTGAGTGGCTTTGACATCGCCACGGTGCTTGTGCCAAGCCAGGTGCACTCCAAGTCCACGTGAATTGTTAAAGGTTCACTGAGAGGAGGTTACGAGACAGATCATCATCACCATCGTAATCAACATCGTTTTGCTGAAGTTGGCAAAAGGGCTGCCGTGACAATATAGGTAAGAGAGGGGGGGAGGAGCCAGGGAGGAGAGACAGAGAGGAGGGTGTGGGGTAGTGGAAGTGGAGCGCTGCTCGAGGGATTAGAAGCAATGCAGAATGCCGGGAGGGGGGGGGGGGGGGGAAGTGGGCGGGACTGGGAGTGGGAGGCTGAAGAAGAAACTGGAGATGCAAATATAAAGGCAACACCATGAAGCAGTTAAGGTTATACCTGTGTAATAAAAGGACTCGAACACTTCTTTCTGTCTTCGTGTCTTTATTCAGGTTCACGTCTTTACCCACACGGCACTCTGTTATAACTCCTGTATTTGTAGCCCCCGGCTATTCACTGCTATTATAGCTTCCTCACCCCTCTGACTCTCTGCTTCATCTACTGTAACCTCCTCCCTGCAGACTTGCTGCTACCCCTATGTGCAGACCCTCTGGCTGTCACTGTATGCAGACCCGCTGCCCACTCTCTCTGTGCAGCCCCGCTGCTGACTGCAGCCTCCTCGCTGCTTCGGGTCGGTCACCGCTGGCCAACGGTGCCGATCCTCGCTCCCCCCGTGTTCGTGGCGATCTCGCCACACCCCGCTTCGCCCTTCGTGGCCTTCCTCTGTTCCTGGTTCCCCGTCACTTCCCTTGCTCTTCCGGTTCCCCTCCTTCTATACTCAACCCCTCTCCCCCCCACGTGACCTAACTCCTCCCCCCCTGACGGCACCTCAGAAGGGCCGTTTACAACCGCATTACATCACCCTCCCCCCTAAAGAAAATCCAGCCGACCTCGGCTGAATTGCAACCTGAAAAGCAATGCGGGTGTAAAGGGCCAACACGCAAAAAGACACGAAGCATTGAAGAACATTATAACAATAACACAACACAACACAATCTAACGAAACGTGAGGGATTTCGAGCGAGTACGGGTAGCCGGGCCGTCCCGGACGGTCGGCGGCCCACCCGCCGAGCGGGAACGTGGAAGGGTTTTAGGGGCGACGGGCGCAAGTTCTTCCGTCGCCATTGGAGGCCCGCCACTGTCCCGCTCGCGTCCAGAAACATCCCGTACTCGCGTCCGCGGAGGGATAGGAAGAGCTGCAGGTCCCGTGGGTTCTGCGGCTCCGGTCGGCGTCCCACAAGCGGAAGGTCCTCCTCCCTGCGCTGTCACGGCCGGCTTGTCTGTGCCGGAGGGTCTTTCTTTGGGACGTCCGCGATCGAGGCCTCCTGCTGGGGCGGCCCCGGAACCCGGGCCCAGCAGTCCCTGGCATAGTGGCCCCGACGGCCGCAGCGGAAACAGTCGACGTCGGGTCGGCGCGCAGCAGGCACCCCGTCCCGACGTGGCCGCGCCGGTGGTGGAGCCCGCGGCCCCGGCTCGCTTCGAGCCGGCCACGGAGTGGAGGCGGCCGACAGCTCCTTTGGGCCGGTCGCATCCGGCACGTACACGGCCTTTGTAGGGTCCCACCCTACGGCCCCCCCATCGACGACAGGACCGCCCGTCCACGCCGTGACTTGTTTCCAGCGGCGGAGATTGAACTGGGCGTCCAAACACTTAGCCGCGGTCCGGGACGTGAGTTTCTCGTGACCGCAAGCCGGCATAGGGATGCCCAGATCCCGGGATAACTCCAACATCTTCCCCAAGATGAGAGGTTCCAGCAGGTCAGGCTCCGTCTCCGGGTAAGCGGCCATCGCGAGTTCCAGCACGGCGCCCCTGTACGCTACAGGCGACTCCTCCGGTGCGCGTTGCCGCTGCACGAAGCGGCGATGGGCATCATCCGGTGGCTCGTACGCGTCCGCCATTTTGTCGAACACTCCACGCAATGTTTTCTTCTTCGCAGCTTTTATAGAGCGAAAAAAACGAACAGACTCATCGTCAAGGAGAGTCGGAAGCACCTCCAGCGCCTCGGCGTCCGTCCACCTTGCCGTTCGTACCGCCGCCAAAAATCGACAAGCGAACGCACTCCAATCGCCCCCGATGGAGAACTCCTTAACAGTTGTAAGGTGACGACTGCGGCTCCTTGGCCTGCTTCCGTCCGTCACCGACTCTTCCGGCGGCAAGTTCAGCAAGGCGTCGCAACGCGGTGTCGCCAAGATGGCGGACGATCTTCGTGGCGGCCCCAAGATGGCGGCTTCCCGCCTTCCGTGGTGCGCCACGCCCAAGATGGCGTCTTCACGCCGCGTGGTCGATGGCGGCGCCATCGAAGACGACCCGGGCTCCTGCCGATCACCACCATCACCTTCCGACGCCGCCCTTGGCGTGACAAGGTCACACAACTCCGTGATGACGGTTTTTAGGGTCGCCAGTTGCTCCGCCATCCGGGTCCATCTTAAATCTTCGTCCTTCAACGCAGATGGGTCGGGCGCAGCGGCAACCTCCTCCACACCCGGGCCCTCACGGATCTCTCCTTCCGCCGAAGTGAAGCCGACCTCAGGAGGAAGATCGTCGTCGTCCGATGATGAAGCCGACGCCGGAGATGGGATATTCTTCTTCCTCAGTTGTTTCGCCATGCCGTTTCACTTCTGACTCCAGTGTAATAAAAGGACTCGAACACTTCTTTCTGTCTTCGTGTCTTTATTCAGGTTCACGTCTTTACCCACACGGCACTCTGTTATAACTCCTGTATTTGTAGCCCCCGGCTATTCACTGCTATTATAGCTTCCTCACCCCTCTGACTCTCTGCTTCATCTACTGTAACCTCCTCCCTGCAGACTTGCTGCTACCCCTATGTGCAGACCCTCTGGCTGTCACTGTATGCAGACCCGCTGCCCACTCTCTCTGTGCAGCCCCGCTGCTGACTGCAGCCTCCTCGCTGCTTCGGGTCGGTCACCGCTGGCCAACGGTGCCGATCCTCGCTCCCCCCGTGTTCGTGGCGATCTCGCCACACCCCGCTTCGCCCTTCGTGGCCTTCCTCTGTTCCTGGTTCCCCGTCACTTCCCTTGCTCTTCCGGTTCCCCTCCTTCTATACTCAACCCCTCTCCCCCCCACGTGACCTAACTCCTCCCCCCCTGACGGCACCTCAGAAGGGCCGTTTACAACCGCATTACACCTGGTTAATAACATTCTTCCAATGATTGCTCAATTTGTATCCATCTTCTCGGTTGAAGTTATGTCTGTTTATATATCTGGAGGGCTTCATGAACAAACCTTTTATAGTAGCCCAAAGGTTTGCCTAGTACCTTGGTCTCGGAAAAAAACAATATCATGAGAGCCCACAGCGGTTATACCAATGGTCAGCCATGGCGGAGGTATTGGTTCTGCCGTGTTTAAGATATGACTTGTGCTCGCGAACACAGTTTTATATATGTTGTTTCGTTTCCCCAATGTAACAGCCACCATAGGTGCAACTTAGTTTGTAGACTCCAGGATATTGCATGTCAGGAATGACATCTTTCACAGATGGGATTAGATCACGGATTTTGTGTACTGTACTGAATCGGACCTGGATATTGTGTTTGTTTAAGATTTTGGAAATATTTTTGGTAACACCTGCTATGTATGGTAACGTGATGGTTTTGATCGGCGTCTCAGGGGGTTGTTTCTCCATGGTTGGAGAAACAGCTTTGCGAATAATGCGGTCCGAGTACCCATTCATCTTGAGGGCCTGGTTTATGTGTTTCAGTTCACTGGCTAGGTGGTGTTGGTCAGAAATGCAGTGGGCCCTATGGTGTAGTGCTTTGATAAGGGAATTCTTCTGTGCCAGGTCACGTTCAGGTGGTCAAAGACAGTTAAACCTCGTCAGGAGCAAGCGTAGTTAGTGAGTGTATCATCGACGCTCTCTTTCAGTGTTTTCACTAATTTTTTTCAGGGGGAGGGGGTGGGTTGGGACATTAGCAGACAAGACGTCAGCATTGCGAGTGAGGGGCCACGCCACACGTTTAGGAACAACCATTGGGGGATTTGACAGTAAGCAGCACGATGTTGATGATGATGGGGGTAGGGGGGGTGTTGTCGCTGTTTGTGTATTGTCGGGGGTGGTCGCACGTCAGGGGGCCCCGCTCTTAAAGGGCCACCAGGGGGGCCACCAGTGGCCCGCGGGGCCTTGCAATGAGGAACACATGGTCTCATTCCATAGTTAAGTATAGTGTATAGTATTTTAGTGCATAGTGTATAGTAGTGTTGTGTATAATAGTTGAAATGGTGTGGGCGAGCACTATTTTTCAGGGGTGAGCCGAGATGACTGTGGTTACATTAGGTAAAGGGGGGTTCTTAATTCAACCGATTGAAATAATTAATACTTCATTCACCAAGGTGGGGTATTAATTCTATCAGCAGAAAGGGACATTAGCAACTCCCTTAGTTCAGAGGACTAATGACCGAGAAAGTTTAATATAAGAAACTTTAACGGTATGGCCGTCCTTGTTCATACCTCGTGTGGAGGCAGTGCGGGTGCAGGGACAGTGCATGGTCTAGTGGTCACGAGGGGTAATTACAGAGCAGACCCATCTGGGAAGTTAAGGAACGGGCTAGAGAGTTCGAGAAAGGGGGCGTGGCCGGGGGTGGAGCGAGGGCCATGCTGGAGATTAACGGAGAGGGAAGGCAAGGTTCGGGGCTGCCGTGGGATCTGGGTCGACTGTCTTCTCGCCATGGCTGTCTTCACATCGTCACTATCTGCAGGTCGTTGCTGTCTTCGCATCTCAGTCGTCGCTGTCTTGGCACCGTTACTGTCTTCGCATCGTCGCCATTTGCGTGCCATTCCTGGCCCAAATTATCTGTGTGTCATCCCTAGCCAAGTTATCTGTGTGTCATCCCTGACCAAGTTATCTGCGTGAAGCACCCTAAATCTATATATATAAAATCGTGAATGTCTGTCTGTCCGTCTGTCCGTCTGTGTGTGGATTTCGGACCATACGCACTTTCATTGGACGGCGGTTGCCCCTGGCAACGGATAGCGACGCCTTCGCCGCTTTCATTGGACCTGGCAACGGCTAGCGACGCCTTCGCCAAGGGCTGCAGTTTCATTGGACGGCGGTTGCCCCTGCCAACGGCTAGCCACGCCTTCGCCACTTTCATAGGCTCCGTAAATAATTAAATAATAGCCATTACACAGTATTGTTGGAGCGCTGGGGGGGGGGGGGGGGAACGCCACCCGTACCCTGCCTCTGCCGGGTGGACAATTTAGGCGAGGCCGCAGGCTCTGCACGCTACTAGGCCTCGACACCCACCACGCCACTCTGAGGTAAATTCATCAAAGTTTTTCCTACTCTTCACTCCACCCCCACCACAATGTGTGCAATTTATATTACTTTTAAACCCAACGCGCCAACAATCGATTACTTAAATGTTCACTGTACAAATAGTCACTAAGCTGGATCAGCGTACTGCCAGTCTATCATGTACACTGTAGCCTGCTTATTAAGCTCGGTGAGCGTACTGCCACTCTATCAGGTACACTCTAGCCTGCTTATGAAGCTGACTGCGTGTACTGGCAGTCTATAATGTGGACTGTAGCCTGGTTATTATAATCGATTCTTTATATGTTCTTTGTACAAATAGTCATTAAGCTGGTTGAGCGACCCCAGTTCGATTCCAACTCACGCCCACCACCGCTGACGATTATTTGAAACGGACCTGGCCCTCCCCTAGGTCCACTCAGCCTCAAACGCGTAACTGCTGTCGTGTGTGAACATCGTCACTGGGGAGACAAAGGCGGCCGGGCATCGTGGATCCAAGTCCCGGGCGAAGCCGGGTCATGTGTATGTGTGTATGTGTTTATGTGTATGTCTGTGTGTCTCTATGTATGTGTGTATGTATGTGTGTGTATGTCTTTGTGTGTGTGTGTATGTATGTGGGATTTTTTCTATGTCTTTATGTGTATGTCTGCGTGTCTGTATGTATGTGTGTATGTACGTGTGTGCATGTGCTTGTGTGTATGTATGTGTGTGTCTATGTATGTGTGTGTATGTCTTTCTGTGTATGTATGTGTGTGTATGTATGTTTGTTATGTGTCTGTCTGTGTGTCTGCATGTATGTGTGTATTGTGTATGTGTTTGTATGTGTTTGTGTGTTTACGCTCGCATTACACAAATGTGTTGCAGGTCTAAGGCGTTCCTTGCGCCGCATTGCCGCTTTATTATTTCAGTCGTTTACTGCCGTACGCACCCTGAAAGTCGTGTGTGTCTGCAGCAAGCGCGTGTATGTGTACCTATGGACGCGCGCGCGTGTGTTGTGTAGGGGGAACGGTAGTGTAGTGCTTAGCGTGCTGCCTGTGTCTGTGTGTGTGTGTCTGTGTGTGTGTCTGTGCGTGTGTGGTGTGTGAGGAGCGGTGGGTGTAGTGCTTAACGCTACGCTGCGCTACCAACCCGGCGAACCCAGTTCCATTCCCGCTCACGGCCACCACCGGTGACGATTATTTGAACCTCCCCTAGGTCGACTCTGCCTCAAACGAGTAACTGCTGTAGCGTATTAACATCGCCACTGGGGAGACAAAGGCGGCCGGCCGTGGTGGATACAAGTCCCGGGCGAAGCCGAGTAGTACAGCTAGTAATAAATAAAAGACTCCTCTATAGTTCGTGTTGTCCGAGAGTCATTACACTAGTATGGGTGCCGAACGTTTAAAAATCGCCACGGCCCACGGGGGAGAGAGATTCATGTCTGGTGTGTGCCATATGCATAACCACCCTGACTGGTCTGGTCGGGACAAACCCTTGCGGAGTGGGGGTCTAGTTTGAAGGGGTGGAATATAACGGTGTGGCCCAGCGCTGCTGCGAAGTGGAGAGCCGTGGTGGCTGAGGTTACATGAGGTGAAAAGGTGAGGGGGGAGAATCCCCCAAAAACCTCAACTTTTGGAAGCAACGATCTGGTTTTAATTGGCGGCAGGTGTTTTCAATAAAAAGTTTAATACAGTACACCGAATTTTCGAGGTTCCGATTGGAGGACGCTGCACGTGCCAAGTTGATTGACAGAATTCTACGACCCAGCAAGAGGCAGTGGATTGGCTGCTCAGGAGGGAGAGAGGCCGTGAAGGTGGGACTACATTTGTGGACTTCAGCGGGCACCACTGGGGTACGGTGGAAGACGACGACCTACAATCACCCCGAGCACGGGACTCCAGGAGAAACCAGTGATGACTACCGGGCAGATGGCTCCGAGACCCAGGCTGCAGCCCTTTTGAGTTCAACGTGGGGATAGAGGAGCCGGCCGGGTCCCTGGACTGTCGTCGCGTGGAGTCTCAACTTCATAACCACGACTGCAGCTGTGCAGATTTGTTCAACGTGTGGTTGCAGGCTTCTACCAAGTACAAATGCCGTCTTTTGAGTTGATCCTTCAAGAATACAACTGTAAATGCACAAGATACTCCAGTTGGGTCCTGGGAATCTTTGAGGCTGCACACGATCCTGACTGCAGATTCGTGTACTTATGCTGATTTATGCTGCTTTTTCGCTTTGTCCGAGATTGGAATGTGTGAGTGTGTACGAACGGCCGTCGTGTTTTTTGTATGGTTTATTACCACGGTGCTCTGTTATTGTCACCACACGGGGGGGAGGGATGCGTCGCCGTGTATTCGAGTTTCGAGGACATTTCAAGGAGTCGGTTCTATTCAGCGTTCGGTAATTTTTGACACGCGGGTACACTCTGGGAGAATTTTGAAAAGTCTTGGACTGATTGTTCTGAAGTTGTTGTCGCGCAATTGGGAGGAGGTATCGGGACAAACCGAAGTGCCATGGGTTGTTTGGCTGAGATAACTGCCAAATGCACCACCTGTGCCCCCCCCCCCCCCCCATTTTAGCCGTCCAGCGCTCCACTCGCTGTGAGTGTCGCTCCTCCACCCTCAGTTATTGTTGGAGGGGTGACTGCCTCCAACTGCTAAGTAGCATCCTTCACGATTCTCCTCCACAGAGGGTGAAAAATTTGCCTTTCATAGAGGCAGATAATTTCCAGGATTTGAGAGCTCCTAATACAATCCAGCCTGATTAAACCCAGGATGGATTCTATCATAGCATCATATATCTCCAGCATAGAGTAGGAAGTGCATGCTCGTGGCTGAGAAAACCCGAAGAAAAGATACGAAGCTGCTTATGGAGTGACAGGCCAGGTAGCTCCACACAGCGATACAATGCTGATGAAAAGATAATGCCGCTCAACTGATTCGAAGTGAGAATTGTGCTGCCAAACCGGAGCTGGACATACGCACACCTCACAGGTACAGAAACTCCTCCACTCTCTCCACAACTGCCCTATCACGAATGGGGAGTCGAGGGGTGGAATGTTTAATGACAACGCCCAGGCAGGTGCTTAGTTTTGGTGGGGCTGATGGCAAGAACATCACCTTTTTGTGGTGTACTCGAGGTTCAGCAGCCGCATACTACTTCTCAGTGAGCAGCAATCATCAGGACATCAGCATACGTAACATGGTTGACCAATAGGGAACCATGCCTCGACCGCACCCTGGAATCGATCAGTATCCCACTGCAACTCTTCCATAGAGATTTCTCCAGCTCCGCCATGGAAATCTTTTCGAGCTACGAAGTCTATTTTTTATAATGTAGAATCCAGAAGACATCACAATCTCAATCAGAATATTTATTTATACTGGGGGAATCTGATGAGCTATGAAGCTCTTTGTCACAAATGTCCCATTAATGTCATCTAGGTGTTTGAGTTCACTGGTTAGTTGTTCATTGTTGGAGATACATTGAGCTCTATGGTCTAGCGTTTTGATGAGGAAATTCTTCCTGGATGGATGGTGGTAGGAATCAGGTTTTAGGTAGGTGTCAGTATGGGTTACTTTCCTGTAGACAGAATGGCTCATTGAGCCATCTTGTCTCTTTTTGTTTAGGACATCCAAAAAAGGTAGCATGCCATCCTTTTCTACCTCCATGGTGAATTTGATGGCTGGGTGTATGGAATTGATGTGGTTGAGGAATTGGTTTAGAGACAGTCGGCTATGTGGCCAGATGACAAACGTGTCATTCACATTCCTCTTCCACAAGTGGATGCCTGGATTGCGTCCGTCTCAATTTTTTCCATGAGAATATTGGCTACAACTGTAGATAAGGGAACTCATTGGGCTACCTTCAGCTTGTTTGTAGACTGTTCCATTCCAGGTTAAGTAAGTATTGGTGAGGCAGATTTCAAATCCTCCACCATCCATGCAGCGCCAAATGGCTCTCCGAACCTCCGAGTGAAGGGTGCAGTCAGCCTCATCATTCTCCGACGTGGAATGATGTAGACAGTGGGAGTGGGCCTGTCACTTTCTCAGCCAGCTGGAACACTTCCTCTGTCAGCCAGGGTTTCTGTGGAAGTCTGGACCTCGTTCCCAAAGCAGCCATTGCAGCTGCATGAGCCACAGTCCTGAAGCTCGCCCATTCTCCCTCGGCATCAGTAGGACGATGCCAACCTCGGCTGCAAACGATTATAAAATATAGGCTTGCAACTTTCATCAGCAGGTTGGGACCAGGCCGCTGTGGGTTTGAATGGGGTTGTAGATGGGCATCTATAACCAGAGTGGAAGAATGGCAGGTGCATCTTACAGATGACAAGCCGATTGTTATTGGAAAGATCAACTTCACTGTAGGGCCTGCTGTCAAGAACTTGGCCCTTTTCCACTGTTCTGTCATAATATGGTCCTGCAGATGTTCCTTTTAGGACCTGACGTGCATCCACGAAGTTGCTTGGATGCGCCAATGCCAGAACAGCTTGTTATCACCACAACCATGATCATCGGTACTATAGTCATCATCGTTATCAGCAGTATCACCACCACCACTATCATCTCCACTCACCCATTCGGGGGCTACACAAGCATCGGAGTAGCTGGCTCCAAGAGGTCGGCTCAAATCACTCTGTAGAGACATCAGCAGCAACATCATCACCATCAGCTGCAACATCATCATCAGCATCATCAGCTACATCATCAGCATCTTACAAAAATATGATAACAAACATTATCAACACGTACCTTGTAGATGATGATGACTAAAGTCTGCGGGACAAGAAACAGGACATCGGCATTAACATCAATACTGTAATCAACAACAATAGCGGCATTGGGCCACAGAGTGGCACTGACATCGCCACGGCGCTTGTGCCAAGCCAGGTGCACTCCGAGGCCACATGAAGTGTCAAAGGCTCACTGACAGGAGGTTGCAGGATAGACCATCATCACCACCGTAATAAACATCAGCAGCATCAACACCATCACCACCATCATCACTTCCACCATCACCACCACCATCACCACAACCCCTGAGATCACCACCATCGTCATCAACATCATCATCAGCAACACTATCACTATCACCAACATTACCACCATCACCATCCTTACCATCATCACGGAAATCATGAACATTAACAGTTGCTTTTCACGACTAAGTGGTGGTGCCACCACGGCACTGGTTCCAGGCTAGCTCCACTTCGGGGCCACGTGAAGTGTTGAAAGCTCTCCCTACTGGCAGAAGGTCACGGCAGAGACCCAGGTTCCATGGGTTGACTGCTGTTCTAGGCTAGGTGCAGGATGAGGTCACGGGACAAGCCCAGCAGGTGCCATGGATTGACTGAAGAAGATGACTAGCAGATGCATCTGCTGTGCCCTCTACTGTGCCAACTTGCTGCGTTTTAACTGTCTGGCGCTCCGCTCGTTGTTGTGTCGCTCCTCTGCCCTTCGTTGTTGTTGGAGGGTGACTGCCTCCAACTGCCCAGTAGCGTCCTTCACAAATGTCATTCTCAGAGCCCCGATATTGACTTTGCTGGTACCGGTCATTGACAAGTACACTCAGCTCCACATCCTCCTGTGCCATATTAACCCACCTCCACTTTAGCCCATGCCGTGACTATTTAACCCACTCTATCTGGTTAAACTGAATCTATTTCACCATGCGGTGGCTGGGCTTGCGGGATACGTGACCCATCCAACGTAGCATTGTCTGTCGGGATGAGCTAACAGATGGTGAGACTGTGTCCAGATCTTTCAAGGATTTGTGAGGCCCTCACACAAACCAGCCTGCAGCTTAAACTTAAAACGGAGCATAGGCAGGACGGACTGAATGTTTCGAACCGGCAAAGATGTTCCATTAGGGGATCCATGTTTCGCAAGCATAGATAAGGGAGGGCATGGCTGTGACTGAGAAGATCCGAAGCTTCGTGTGGAGTGACACACCAGGTAGCTTCCACACAGCATTACGCAGCCGAAGAAAAGATAATGCCACCCGATTGGGAGTGAGACCTCTGCTGTCAAACCATAGCTGGTCATTAGCACACTTCCCAGGTTTGGAAACCTCTCCACTCTCTCCACAACTACCCCACCAATGGGGCGTTGAGGGGGTGGCATGTTTGATGACACAAATACCCAGGCAAGTGCTTAGTTTTGGTAGGGCTGATGGCAAGGCCGCCATCTCATAGTACCATTGCTCCATATTCAGCAGCAGAGCCTCCAAAGTTACATCATTAGACCTCCTTTGCCAGTACCAAAATACAATACTTGCAGTCAGAATGCAAACATGTTTGCAAACATGTTTGCATTTTGACCACAAGTATTGTGGTTAATGCACACATGATTCCTTATAAACAGGTTTCAGTTTTGTTGCCAGAAAAAGGGGGAAAACCCTATTATTAAATTCTGGTACTGGCAAAGGAGGTCTAATGATGTAGATGCTTACCCTCAGCCCTCATTACTTTGATATTGCATTGTCTTTGAGCTGTACGCCTTTTGGCTTCCTCTGTTCTAGCACCAATTGACACGAGGCTCAAAAGAAAGCCGTCTCTGGTGTGGACCAATCAGTTTCAACGACAATGCATATATTATCAGTGTTACTCTTGGGTTTTTTCCGGTAAAGTCACGTAGATAAAAATAAATAATAATAAATAATACTAAAAATATATAAATAAAATAATAAATCACGACGTTTCGGAGGCAACACAAGCTTCCGTCTTCAGGTTGAACCGTCACAGCACAATTGCAGTATCAAGTAAAGAGAAGTCCCAAGAGACCCGACCTTATATATACTGGTTAAGGGGGAAGGAACCAGGATGGGCCACGGGAGAGGAGTTGTTGTGAGATGGTTAGTACGGCTGCTTCTGCTGCTGGGACTGAGCCTTTTTCATGTAGATGGCAGAAGCAGATAAGCAAGTCAGGACCAAGCAGCCCCTTGCTATGCTGCTGGGTGGGTAAAACTCAAGGCAGGCAACCAGCGTGTGAAAAAAGAAGCTAAACATGATAAAACAAAACTGGCTGTCTATCAGTAAACTGTACGGTAACTAAAGAATAGTACCTGTCAAATAAGATGGTCCAAATGTGTAGTTAAATCTTTATTGCATGGTTAGTAACATCTTTCCAATGATTACTCAGTTTGTACCCATCATCACGGTTGAAGTTATGTCTGTGTTTGTATATCTGGATGGCTTCGTGCACAAACCTTTGATGGTAGCCAGAAGGTTTGGAGATATTTTTGGTCACGCCTGTTATGTATGGCAACGTGATAGTTTTGATCGGAGTTTCAAGTGGCTATTTCTGTATAGTGGGAGAAACAGCTTGGCGGATGGTGCGGTCAGAGTATCCGTTGATCCTGAGGGCCCAATGTACATGTATTAATTCACTGGCCAGGTGGTTAACTACACTATGGGGACCTCATTTGCCAGTAAAAATATAATTGGTTCTTTACCCTTCTATCTGGCAACAAAACTGACACCTTTTTGCAAGGAGTCATGTTTGCATAGACCGCAATACCTGCAGTCATAATACAAACAAAAGAACATAACTCTGATAATGTGCACTGTCCTTGAAGTTGATTGGTCCACACCCGAGACAGCTTTCCTTCGAGCCTAGTCTCATATGGGTTGGACCAGATGACGCCAAAAGGCGCACAACTCAAGGACAATGCACCATCAGAGTATGAGAGCTCGGGGCAAGCATCTACACTATGGGGACCTCATTTGCCAGTAAAAATATGATAATTGGTTCTTTACCCTTCTATCTGGCAACAAAACTGACACCTTTTTGCAAGGAGTCATGTTTGCATAGACCGCAATACCTGCAGTCATAATACAAACAAAAGAACATAACTCTGATAATGTGCACTGTCCTTGAAGTTGATTGGTCCACACCCGAGACAGCTTTCCTTCGAGCCTAGTCTCATATGGGTTGGACCAGATGACGCCAAAAGGCGCACAACTCAAGGACAATGCACCATCAGAGTATGAGAGCTCGGGGCAAGCATCTACACTATGGGGACCTCATTTGCCAGTAAAAATATGATAATTGGTTCTTTACCCTTCTATCTGGCAACAAAACTGACACCTTTTTGCAAGGAGTCATGTTTGCATAGACCGCAATACCTGCAGTCATAATACAAACAAAAGAACATAACTCTGATAATGTGCACTGTCCTTGAAGTTGATTGGTCCACACCCGAGACAGCTTTCCTTCGAGCCTAGTCTCATATGGGTTGGACCAGATGACGCCAAAAGGCGCACAACTCAAGGACAATGCACCATTAGAGTATGAGAGCTCGGGGCAAGCATCTACACTATGGGGACCTCATTTGCCAGTAAAAATATGATAATTGGTTCTTTACCCTTCTATCTGGCAACAAAACTGACACCTTTTTGCAAGGAGTCATGTTTGCATAGACCGCAATACCTGCAGTCATAATACAAACAAAAGAACATAACTCTGATAATGTGCACTGTCCTTGAAGTTGATTGGTCCACACCCGAGACAGCTTTCCTTCGAGCCTAGTCTCATATGGGTTGGACCAGATGACGCCAAAAGGCGCACAACTCAAGGACAATGCACCATCAGAGTATGAGAGCTCGGGGCAAGCATCTACACTATGGGGACCTCATTTGCCAGTAAAAATATGATAATTGGTTCTTTACCCTTCTATCTGGCAACAAAACTGACACCTTTTTGCAAGGAGTCATGTTTGCATAGACCGCAATACCTGCAGTCATAATACAAACAAAAGAACATAACTCTGATAATGTGCACTGTCCTTGAAGTTGATTGGTCCACACCCGAGACAGCTTTCCTTCGAGCCTAGTCTCATATGGGTTGGACCAGATGACGCCAAAAGGTGCACAACTCAAGGACAATGCACCATTAGAGTATGAGAGCTCGGGGCAAGCATCTACACTATGGGGACCTCATTTGCCAGTAAAAATAACTTCAAGGACAGTGCACATTATCAGAGTTATGTTCTTTTGTTTGTATTATGACTGCAGGTATTGCGGTCTATGCAAACATGACTCCTTGCAAAAAGGTGTCAGTTTTGTTGCCAGATAGAAGGGTAAAGAACCAATTATCATATTTTTACTGGCAAATGAGGTCCCCATAGTGTAGATGCTTGCCCCGAGCTCTCATACTCTGATGGTGCATTGTCCTTGAGTTGTGCGCCTTTTGGCGTCATCTGGTCCAACCCATATGAGACTAGGCTCGAAGGAAAGCTGTCTCGGGTGTGGACCAATCAACTTCAAGGACAGTGCACATTATCAGAGTTATGTTCTTTTGTTTGTATTATGACTGCAGGTATTGCGGTCTATGCAAACATGACTCCTTGCAAAAAGGTGTCAGTTTTGTTGCCAGATAGAAGGGTAAAGAACCAATTATCATGGCCAGGTGGTGTTGGTCAGAAATGACATGAGCTCTGTGGTATAGTGTTTTGATGAGAGAATTATGTTGTAGACACAATGTCCCAAGGATCCGTCAGGTCTCCTCTCAAACAGAATATATAAGAATGGTAGTTTGCTATCTTTCTCCACTTCCATGGTGAATCTGATGGATGGGTGTCTGGAATTGATGTGGTCCAAAAAGTGGTTCAATGCTGGGAGGCCATGTGGCCAAATAACGAAAGTGTCATCCACATATCTCTTCCACAGGGAAGGACGCAGGGTGGACGTCTGGATGGCGTCTGATTCAAACTTTTACATGAACACATTGGCTATTACTGGTGACAAGGGGGAGCCCATAGGGGTACCCTCATTCTGTTTGTAGAAGGTGCCATTCCAGGTAAAATAAGTGTTGGTGAGGCAATGCCTAACCAGCGCAGGTACATCCTGGGTGGTGGTGGATCTGAATCCACACCACCCGTCTCAAAATAATTATCTCATCAAAACACTATACCACAGAGCTCATGGCATTTCTGACCAACACCACCTGGCCAGTGAATTAAGACATGTACATCGGGCCCTCAGGATGAATGGATACTCTGACCGCACCATCCGCCAGGTTTCTCCCACCATACAGAAACAGCCACTTGAAACTCCGATCAAAACTATCACGTTGCCATACATAGCAGGCGTGACCAAAAAGATCTCCAAAATTCTTAACAAACATAAGATCCAAGTCCGATTCAGTACAGTACATAAAATGCGTGATCTAATTCCATTCGTTTACTTGGAATACCCTGGAGTCTATAAACTGAGTTGCAGCTGTGGTGATTGTTACATTGGGGAAACGAAACGTCATATCTCTGATCGTGTCCGCGAGCACAAGTCAGATCTGAAACACGGCAAAATTGAGTCTTCCGCCAATGCCGATCATTGCTACAACGCTGTGGGTTCTCATGAGATTGTCTTTTCCGAGACCAAGGTGCTCTGCAAACCTTCTGGCTACCATCAAAGGTTTGTACACGAAGCCATCCAGATATACAAACACAGACATAAATAACTTCAACCGTGATGGTGGGTACAAACTAAATAATCATTGGAAAGTTGTTATTAACCATGCAAAAAAGATTTAACTACACATATTTGGACCATCTTATTTGACAGGTACTATTCTTTAGTTTGCGTACAGTTTACTGATAGACAGCCAGTTTTGTTTTATCATATTTAGCTTCTTTTTTCACACGCTGGTTTGCCTGCCTTGAGTTTTACCCACCCAGCAACATAGCAAGGGGCTGCTTGGTCCTGACTTTCTTATCTGCTTCTGCCATCTACATGACAAAGGCTCAGTCCCAGCAGCCGTACTAACCATCTCACAACTCCTCTCCCGTGGCCCATCCTGGCTCCTCCCCCCTTAACCAGTATATATAAGGTCGGGTCTCTTGGGACTTCTCTTTACTTGATACAGAAATTGTGCTGTGACGGTTCCACCTGAAGACGGAAGCTTGTGTTGCCTGTGAAACGTCGTGATTTATTATTTTATTTCAATTATTTTTATTTATTATTATAAATTTTAATTATTTATTTTTTACCTACGTGACGTTACCGAAAAAAACCTAAGAGTATGAATCCTTGCAGTCACGAAAGCTTCAAATCTAGAATTATCAGTGTTTTTTGTTTGCATTTTGACCACAAGTATTGTGGTTAATGCACACATGATTCCTTGTAGAAAGGTTTCAGTTTTGTTGCCATAAAAAAGAGGAAAAACCCTATTATATTTCGGTACTGGCAAGGAGGTCTAATGATGCAGATGTATTTTAATTGTTATTAATCTTGATGTCTTGATCGTGGCTACACCCATTGATATTTGCATTTTATTATATCGAACAGCACCATCTGACCCCCCTTTTGGCAATGTGGTGAGGCCCTTACCACCATTCCCCTATATATACTAGTGTAATTGCCCAAAACGTGACGGGTTTATCAATTTTTTTTTAAAAGACCAAAGTTTTAAGATTGTATTGAATTAACAAAATAAATCACTATCATATTTGGTGTAAATTTACGAATAGATTATTATTATTATTCTGTAATGGTGTGCAAAACCAAAAGATGAAATCCAAAACAAAGCGCACTTGGCTTTATCAAAGGTTTGGAGTAAATGAATTATTCGTGTAACAAACTAATAACTAATAATTTGTTACAATTAAGGAAAAACATGTTTTTTTTATAATTGCATGGAAATCAACGTAGCCTACCTAGCGTTACACATGCAATACAGTGTCAGGAGTTTGGCACAGATCACCAAAACTATATGTATAATATATTTTTTGTAGCTGCGGCATATCGGCTACTCTATTCACTTCAGCGTGAATGTTTGAATGAACGATTTATTATTATTGTTTGAATTACGTCACTATATAGTCCAGCACATCTTCTTGTTTGGAAACGGTGTGCATCCACAATGTTGTGTGGATGCGCCAATGCCGGAAAAGCGTGTTGGTGATTACGCTCCCGTGGGATGCACACAAGTCGAACAGAATCCTACCGTTACTGTATAATTGAGCTGATCTGGCGCCTTTCTTCCATTCACTCCAGCCCAGGTGTCTGCATCTTGACCCGCGCATTAAAGTCACCCAACAGGATGACTCTATCCGAAGTGGCCGCGTTGGCTAGAACCTGAGACAGGAGGTCGTAGACGGCATCTGACTCATTGGCCTTGCCTGCATCCATCTACTGATGTTCATCTTTGGTGAGAGCGCAAGCAACTTCCACCACCGTTGATGAGGTGAGCCCACAGTAAGCTGGTACTTAGAGCTTCCCACACCTCACCAACCCCTTCATTATTTTCTTCAGAAGAAGAGCCAATCTTCTGAATAAAATATCCACCCTCATAGTGTGTAACTGTGTGTTTAAGTTACTCACATCTGCAGTAACCGGAGCCTAAAAAACAAAAGCAGTAACATCATCAGCATCATCATCAGCAACATAAGCATCATTAGCATCCGCAGCATTATCAGCATCACGTTACCTCAACCACCATCACCATTACTGCCACCATCACCGTCAGTGACGCCATTTCCGTAAGTTATTATTACTTGACAGATGTCACTATATAGCCCAGCAGATGTTCTTGCTTGTAAACGGTGTGCATCCAAGATGTTGTGTGGATACGCCAATGCCGGAAAAGCGTGGTGGTGATTACGCTCCCATGGGCTTCACACAAGTCTAGCAGTCTCCTACCGTTATCATTGAGCTGATCTGGCCCATGCCTTCCAATAACTCCAGACCAGGTGCCAGCATCTTGACCAACTCGCACATTTAAAGATATCCAACAGGATGACTCTATCCAAAGCGGCCATGTTAGCTAAGACCTGAGACAGGAGGTCGTAGAAGGCATCTGACTCATTGGCCTTGCCTGCATCCATCTCCTGATGTTCATCTTTGGTGAGAGCGCAAGTAACCTCCACCACCGTTGATGGGGAGGTGAGCCCACAGAACCCTGGTACTTCCAGCTTCCCACACCTCGCCAACCCCTTCATTATTTTCTTAAGAAGAGCCACTCTTCTGAATAAAATATCCACCCTCATAATGTGTAACTGTGTATGTAAGTTACTCACATGTGCAGTAACCGTAGTCTAAAAAACAAGCAATAACATCATCAGCATCATCATCAGCATCATCATTAACAACATAAGCATCATCAGCATCCGCAGCATTATCAGCATCACATTACCTCAGCCACTATCACCATTACTGCCACCATCATCACCGTCAGTGACGCCATTTCCGCAAGTTATTATTAGTTGACAGATGTCACTATATAGCCCAGCAGATGTTCTTGCTTGGAAACGGTGTGCATCCACGATGTTTTGTGGATGCGCCAATGCCGGAAAAGCGTGGTGGTGATTACGCTCCCATGGGCTTCACACAAGTCTAGCAGTATCCTACCGTTATCATTGAGCTGATCTGGCCCATGCCTTCCAATAACTCCAGCCCAGGTGTCTGCATCATGATCCACTTGGGAATTAAAGTCACCCAACAGGATGACTCTATCCGAAGCGGCCACATTCGCTAGGACCTGAGACAGGAGGTCGTAGAAGGCATCTGACTCATCGGCCTTGCCTGTGTATTGAGTCCAAGTGAGTCACAGACGTTGTCTTAGGAGCAACACGTTTATTAACTATTTGCACAACATAATCCAGGCTATTAACACAACATACTCCGGGGCTATTAACACAACATACCCTCGGGTGGTAACCACCCAACTAACCACGCTACGGCAGAACTAGACATGGTTCCACTATCCCGGTCCGGACCACAAGCTGGGTCCCGGACCGCGTGGCTGGAGGCTTATTCAAGCTTGACGTGGATCTCCTGCCTCTCCAACAGTAAGAACCCCGAGCCCCTTTCAGAGCCCCCCTTATATCGGGCCGGGCTGGGGCTGGCTCCGCCTCTTGCCCCGCCCACCTTCTCGATCTCTTTCCCCCTTGCCCGAAGGCTCTTGAGAGTTCTTCTTGGACCATGTGACCACCCATTGTTCCCCTCCCCTGGTGGCCCCCTCCAGTATCATCCGGTCACATGTCCCCAGGTCAGCCAGAGTATCATGCCCCCAACGTAACCCTAGCTGGCTGACACTCTCTCGCTCTCTCAACGAGAGCCCGCACTGCACGCTGTGCGTGGTGCCACCACGCTTAACCAGCGCTCACCCAAGCCCCCACTAGGGCTGGTACTAAACCCCGTATCCTGGGTGTACACACAGGCCCGGCACCACACAGTGACAGTCACTACACCTGCATCCATCAACTGATGTTCATCTTTGGTGAGAGCACAAGCAACCTCAACCACCGTTGATGGGGAGATGAGCCCACAGTACCCTGGTACTTAGAGCTTCCCACACCTCACCAACCCCTTCATTCTTTTGTTCAGAAGAGCCACTCTTCTGAATATACACCCTCATAGTGTGTGTATCGCTGTGTAAGTTACTCACATTTGAGGTAACTTGAGCCTGAAACACAATAACATTATCAGCATCGTCGTCATCAGCATCATCATTTTCAACATAAGCATCATCAGCATCCGCAGCATAATTATCACCTTACCTCAGCCACCATCACCATTGCCACCATCATCACCATCACCTTCAGTGACGCCATTTCTGTAAATAAAAATAACAATCATCAACACACCCATATTCAAAACCATCACCACCACCATAACCACCACCACTATTACCAACAACCATCTACACCATCACCATTACCATCACCACCACCATCATTAACACCATCATCACCATTAACACGATCACCACCATTATTAACACCATCACCACCTCATCACCACCATCATCACCAATACCCGCCATACGCCAATAATTGACGGTGATGTCACCACGGCACCTGTGCCATGCTAGGTGCACTTTGAAGCCACGTGAAGTGTAGAAGACTCACAGACAGGAGGTCACGGAACAGACCCAGCAGGTGCCATGGGTTGGCTGACTGAGATGACTAGTACATGTGTAGAGGACTCGTTGGGGGGCATGGCGGTCACGCTCGCTGGCTGGGGCGATGACGTCACGGGAAGTGACGTCATGCGCGCCGGCCAGCTGGATGACGTCATGTCCCTGGGGGATACTTAAGGTAGAGCCCGGGACGTAAGCGGGGTCATAGCTAGGAGCGGGAAACGTGAAGGGTGGGTGTTAGGACCAGGGCTAGGAGAAGGGCTAGGAGAAGGGCTAGCGTAAGCGCTAGGAGTGGCTGCACTCCGCGACCGGCCGAAGTTGGATCAGCCCTTGGCTGGTGCGGAGGAGGCAGCCCGGACAGCCAGCTGAGCCAAGGAACAGACCGTGGGGAAGGTCCGAGTAGAGGACCCAACCTAGGACCCCTAACCCCTGGGAAAGTGTTACACCCTTAGTGTTATATTGGCATAAGCCCTTAATAAAACACGTCATATACCCTTACTGGAAAACTTGCCTCTGAGTCGTCCGACACTCTTCAACACATGCACCAGCTGTACCCCCTCCTGTGCCAACTCGCTGCATTTTAGCCGCCCAGCCTTGTAACGAGCGTCGCTCCTCTGCCCTCAGTTGTTGGAGGGCAACTATCTACAACTGCTCAGTAGCATTCTTCACGAGCCTCCTCCATATTTATCTATTCAATTTCGATAGATTATCTACTTAGTCTTTGCCAGTAGTAGCTAGTTTTGCACATAACTTCAACAATATCAAAATCAATTGAGTGTCCTTGTTGGCCCGTGTGTTCTGCTACAGCTGACAGTTGTATTTAGGAGAAAAATGAAACACTTAAACTCTTCGGATAGCTACCGCCTTAGCGCTGCATGGAAGCGAATCATCAAATAATACAATATTTAAATACATGCCTACAAGAGGCAGCATACTTCAATACGGATTACCGTTGGTACGGCTATTTTAATACACACAATAGACAGGAAGGACAAGTTCAAAGGGCTCGCGTAATGCACATCCATAATGTACGTTGCCTCAGTAACCCCCCCCCCCCCCAGCATGGTGCAAGAGCGCACAAGCGTGGTCACCACATCTACGCGTATATATAAGGAACGAAACAGGTGGACTTCTCCACAAATATGGCTGTCGCCTGATGAATCTAGTTGTAATTACTGGCGAAACGTCGTACTCAGATTGTAAATGTTTTGGCTTGGCTCTCCAACACACCGGTGTGCTGTACTGTGACGAATTGCCATGTTCTGTTTACGTGACAACCCTTATTAGTTGGCTGTGTCGGTTGATGGCGAGTTTTAACGGCACATTTATATACGTACACGATCTAACTCAAAATAAAACCTCAATTATTGATGAAATTGGTCGCGAAATCCTGCTACGTGTTAAACGAACTCGAAGCTGTTTATGCATGCGTTGGCTGGGCATGCGGGCTACGTGACTTTCACACAGCCTGCACCACACGCTCACTACCTGCGCTGCACTCTACACGCTGTAGTGCACTACACACTGCGCAAAACAAGCCACAATGCACCACAGACTACAGTACACCACACTCGGCAGTGCACTCACTTATAGCACACACGATACAGAACACCCACACTCCAGTACATGCGATATAAAACATGCACGGACAAGAACACACGCACACATAGATACACGCAAACACGCGGACACGAGGATAGATAACCACCATCATCACCGCCACCACCATCACTATTACCACCACCACCACCAACATCACCACCATCACTACAACCGTCATCATCACCCCACCACCATCATCACCATCCTCATCATTAACACCATCATCACCATCATCATTTACACCATCACCATTACCACCATCGTCATCACCCCAACCGTTACCACCACCGCCATGTTCACTGCACACACACACACACCATATGAACCATTGAAGGCTGAATCGACCTAAGTGACGATCCCAGGACAGGATTCAGATATCCGATGTGGTGTGCTAACCACTGCGCCACCGCTCCACGCTTTATAGACACGAAGACAAAGATCCCTCGTGAGCAGCACCTATGAAGGCTACCGGCACTGTGGCACAAAGGGGGTGGGTGGCCAGCACCACACCCGGCTGCCTTTGTCTCCCTCGCGGCGATGTTTACTACATACCGCACCAAGTACTCAATTGAGGCCGAGTCGACCTCGGGGAGGCAAAGGACTGGTATAGAAATCGTCACTGGTGTTGGCCGTGAGCGGGAATCAATACCTGATCGCCGGGTATTTCGGGTCGCTAACCGATACACAGATCGACACACACAGAGAGACACACAGAGACGGATGGACAGACAGAGAGACGCACAGAGAGAGACGCACATAGAGAGACACATAGAGAGAAAGACGCACAGAGGCAGAGACATACACCGAGACATACACAGAGACAGAGACGCACAGAATCGAATACACAGATACACAGACGGATACACAGAGACACAGATACACAGACACACACGGAGACAAATACACAGACAGAGAGATATACACAGACAGATATACAGAGACGCACAGAAAATATACAGGCACAGAGACACGCAGGGAGACATACACAGACACGCACACACAGAGGCAGATAAAGACACAGAGAGACACACACAGAGACATATACACACACACAAAAAGACAGACACACATTGAGAGACAGTGACGCACAAACACACACACACACAGACATGCATAGATCCAGAGAGACGGATACACGGTCACAGAGACACACACATGCAGACTCACATAGACGAGGTGTCCCAATTAATCTTTCGATGAGTCTCTGAGTTTCTCTGAGTCTCTCTCTGAGTGTCCCTCTCACACCGCTATCTTATCTTGTCTCTCTCTACCTGCGTCTCTGTTTTGCATAATTCACATTCTTGTCATCGCTTCCTCCTCTTCAACCGCCTTGAAGCTCCAGCGACAGCTTTTTCCGCTCTGCCTCCCCCTCTCACTCCAGAACAGCCAGGTTGAGGCAAGTGCTGTGAGCTTGAACTGGCAAATACCTGGTTAGCTACCAACCACCTAACCCAGCCGCCTTTGTCTCCCTCGTAGTGATGTTTACACACTGTTTACACACTGCATCAAGGTACTGCTGCTGCTGTTGTTGGCCGAGTGAAAATCTAACTCGGTTCAATCAGGTCCCGGGTTAGTTGCGCAGCGCGGTAGTGCGAATCACTGCGCCACGGCTACCGACTCGCAACCTCTCTCACTCACTCCCCACACACTCAGCCACCGACTCACCCACTCACTAACCAATTCACCTACCCACCCACCGACTCACCCAACCACCCTTTCGTTTCCGTGGCTTGGCATTGCTCTACGAGGATATTGCCACTATTGTTGGTTTTCCATTGTTTCCCTGGTGCACCTCCACCATTTCGGATGAGGAATTCCCCGAAATCGACGACTTGCCTGACTTGTGGCACTATTGAGGCGAGCTTGCTTGTCCGTGTTCCGTCCTCCGGGTAAGCGCCAGACAGACCATGTGACTGAATGTCGTAAATAACGTGTAACACGTAGTAAATAGCAGGGGCTTTCGCGACCAATAGCCTAAGTAAAAGTGATTTTGGGTAAGATCACGTAAATATGAATGTGTCAATCTTGATTTGAAGCTTTGGTGACTGCAGGAATCCATACTCTTTGGTTCTTTCGGTAAAGTCACGTAGGTATAAAATAAAATAAATCACGTTTCACTTTCCCACCTGATGAAGGACGCTTGTGTTGCACCCGAAACGTCATTTATTTCATTTTATACGTACGTGACTTTACTGAAAGAACCAAATAGTATAAATGTGTCGTTAACACACCACCTCCTAACACAGCCAATTAGGGTTTGTCACGTAAACAAATCATAGCCAATGAGTTACTACTTTAGCACTAACCGGTGTGTTGGAGAGTAAAACCGCAACATTTCCCACTTGAGTACTGTAACGTTTCGCTGGTGCTCTTCTGCACTCTGCTATTGCTGGAGGGCGACTGCATCCAACTGGCCAGTAGTGTCCTTCACGAGCCTCCTCCACAGAGGCTGATCTTGTCCACGCAGCTCCATATCACCCTGTACAACATGAGTCCATTTCTTAACTATCCTGTTTTGCACCCATTTAACCCCCTCTATCCGGCCAAACAATAGTTGTTTGGGCATGTGGTGGCTGGGCATGCAGGCTACGTGACCCATCCAACACAGATTTGCTTGCTGGAGGAGATCACCAATGGGACTGTTCAGATCGTTCAAGGATTTGTGAGCTCAAATAATCCAGCCTGCAGGTTAAACCCTGGATGGATCGTAGACAGGCCAGCCTGAATGTATCTAACCGGCACAGATGTTCCATTCGACGGGTCCACGTTTCGCAAGCGTAGAGAAGAGAGTGCATGACTGGCCGAGCAGACCCGAAGCTTAGTGTGGAGCTACAGATCATCCCCACCACCATCTTCACCACAACTACCACCACAACCAATGTCACCATCACCAGTAATATGTTTAATTTACAGTCGAGAAGCCTCATGATATTCATCACCACTATCACCACAACCATCACCAAAGACAAAGATCCCCTGTAAAACATTAACAGGCTGTTGGGGAAAGTGCTATTAGAGAGCACCTATGCTGGTGGCCAGCACCACGCCCGGTCGCCTTTGTCTCCCAAGTGGCAATGTTTACACACCACACCATGTAATCATTTTAGGTTAAACCGACCTAGGGGAGGTCCAGGACCTGTTCATATAATCGTCACTGGTGTTGGCCGTCAGAGGGAATCGGACACGGGCCGCCAAATTTGTAGCGCAGCGAGCTAATGGCTCCACTACCGCTGTATAAATAATAGTCGAGAAGCCTCCACGATATTCATCATCATCACCACCATCACTAGCAGCTCCTGACAGGCAGGGTTTTCTTCAGGGCACGCAGGTGATGCTGTGCCAATTCCCAAATGCATTCACGAGGATTGAGAGAAAATAAGTGTGTGAATACATTGAGGATTTATAGACAGGAAGTGAGTATATGAATTGAAGATCAACAGACAGGAAGTGGGTGTATGAATTGAGGATTGAGAGATAGGAAGTGGGTGTATACATTGAACATTGAGACGCAGGAAGTGGGTGTATACATTGAACATTGAGAGGCAGGAAGTGGGTGTATAGATTGAGGATTAACTGATAGGAAATTAGTGCATTAATTGAGGATAAACAGAAAGTGAGTGCATTCATTCATTATGTAATCACTGGTTTTCATTAGGCCCACTGTTACTGCTCACCTCTCTACGTGTGTGCTATGAAGAAGGGCCATTGCCTGAAACTTTGCCTTCTCTACACTTTTGCTTTGAATGAGGGGGAAAGTATGTGGGGTCGCCACGGTGACCAACATATGTTAACTACATCGCCTGGTATGCAGGAGGTTGTGGATTCGATTCCAACCCTGACGCCTTCTATATATTTTGAGTTTTAGTATCTCTTGCCGCGGTTGCATGGATTTTTCTCTGGCTCCAATTTTGTCCCTCCATATTTAGAATCAACATGAATTAAGAGTATTTGGCTACTATACATTGCCACGTGATAAGCCACTTTGTTGAGGTATATATATATATATCAGTCAGCCTTACCTTGTAAAATAATAAGTTTAGTTTTAGTTTAGTGAGGGAGTCGGTGGGTGGGTGAGTGGATAGGTAGGTGAGTAGGTGAGTGATCATGTTTCATGTTATGCCACAAGTAAGACTTTGCTGTTTTTTCCTGGATTTTTCTGTTTCGTGTAGTCACTTTAAGATGTTTATTGTTCACGTTTTTTTTGTTGCGGTTGTACCTGAGTCAAGAGCCGCATGGCTCACAGAGATATACCTAATAAATGAAACTGAAACTGAGTGGTTGAGTGTGTTGGTAAGATGGTGGGTGAGTGGTTGAGTGAACGAGTGGGGAATATGGTGGGTGAGTAGTTGAGTGAGTGGGTGTGTGGGTAGGTGCGTGGGTGATAGGATAGCTGGGTGGGTGAGTGGGTGGGTGAGTTACTAAGTGAGCGATTCGATGAGCGAGTAAATACGCGTATATATATTCCCCTTGTAAGCCTCCTCCTCCCCCTCCCGGTCCTCCTCCTTCTATCCTTCCTCCTCTTGACCCTCGAGCCCAGGGTTGTGCGGGGGGGGGACAAAGCTCAAAGTTACACATCAGATTTAAACCCCAAGACCTGATACGTAAGATTCCACGCGACGCCAGTGAGTGACTGCATAGCGCAGGCTGGAACAGGAACGCACATCTAGACAGTGCATGTCGCGAAAACCAACCGTTGCCTATGAACATCTGCTGGCAGTTAACCAAAATCAGTCGGTTCTGTGTGAGTCTGTGGGTGTCTGTGTGTCTATTTCTGATTATATGCGTCTCTGTGTGACGAGTCTATTGTTCTCTGTGTGAGTGTGGGTGTCTGTGGGTCTTTCTGGAAGTCTGTGTGAGATTGCGGGTCTCTGTGTGATGAGTCTGTGTGTCTTTGTGTGAATCTGTGGGTCTCTGTGGGTCACTGTGTGGTGAGTCTGTGGGTCCCTGTGTGGTGAGTCTGTGGGTCTCCTCCTCCCTTCCCACTCCTTATCCTCCCTGCTCCTCCTCACGCCTCCTCCTCACTCCTCCTCCTCACTCCTCAGCTCATTGAATGGTAAGATCCACGTATGGGCTGTCCACCCCTGGCTTGGTGGTGGCGCTGTCCAACTGCGAGTCTGGGCATTCGTAGGGCGACGTCGAGTGCTGAACCGGAGCCTTGAAGTTGAGGTAGTGAGGCTCCTTCTTCTGGGCTCTGCCCTCATCGTCCAGCTGGAGATGATAGAGAGAAGTGGAGATAGGTGGAGGGGAGGAGATTAGAGATACACAAAAATAGAGAGAGATGAGAGAGATTTGGAGGCGATGAGAGAGATCGAGATATTCGAGAGAGATTAGAGAGAAAGAGGTGGAGAAGATGAGAGAGAGAGAGAGAGATGAAGAGATAGAGAAGTAGAGGAGATGAAAGAGAGATATATAAAGAGGGGGTAAGGAGATGAGATACATAGATACAAGATAGAGAGAGGAGATATAGAGAGAAAGGTGGAGGAGATGAGAGAGATACAAGGAGGGGACGAGAGATGATGGGTTAGGAGATCGGGGGAGACACAATGAGAAACGGATATGTTGGGATGACATGGGTCTCTACGCGATTCTCTACGTGGGTCTCACCTCTTCGTAGATTTCATCTTCATTATCCTGTTGGGGGTAAGAGAGAGATTGAATCACGTGGGTAAATGTAACGTTCCTCGTATAGTTTCAAGGAGCAATAAACCATCATCATCACACGAACTCCGGTCACCCTCGTAGCAACAGCGACTTTTTGGCTAACCGTCGAACAAAGATGGTGGTCTCCGCACCGCATAGCGCTCCTGCGGCCGTCTGGAATGCCCTTCCAATATATTAGGAAGCCACTGGAGCTCTGTACATTAAAATCATCATCAAGATTGATATGATTTTCTTTAGAACTGCGTGTTGTGTTTAGTTTGTTGTCCTACATCCCCGGCACCTCTGATTAGCGCCGTTGTCTATGTACGGTGCGAAAGAAGTTCAAAACACATACTTACAAAGATAAAGATCCCCTTTATAGCATTAACAGACTGTTTGGACAAGCCCTGTTAGCGAGTTATGGCTATGAAGAAGGCCGGAACAGCAAACGAGGGGGTGGGTGGTCAGCACCATGGCCGGCCGCCTTTGTTTCCCCTTTGCTGATGTTCACATACAACTGCACCAGTTAATTATTTGAGGCTGAGCAGAGTGGTTGAGTGAGTGACAGAGTAGGTGAGTGAGTGGGTAAGTGAATGAGTGGGTAAGTGAATGAGTGAGTGTTGGGTAAGTGAATGAGTATTTGCGTGAGTGGGTAATTTAATGGGTGAGTGAGTGGGTAATTTAATGGGTGAGTGAGTGGCTTAATGAGTGGGTGAGTGAGTGAGTGGGCCAGTAAGTGCGTAAGTCAATGATGGGTGGGCGAGTGAGTGAGTGGTTGAAAGAGTGGATGAGTGGATGAGTAAATGGGTGTGACATTGCCACTGGTGTTGATAATGATGATGGTGCTGATTGTACCTTCATCGCCTCCCGCTGAAACTTAATACCAGGCAGTTCATCAGGCACCTGTGATGAACACAGAGATCAGGTTCAATGGCCATGTGGGTGGGCGCGTGAATGAGTGTGTGAGTCAATGCGTGGGTGAGTGAGTGGGTGAATGAGTGATTGGATGAGTGTTTGACCGAGTAGGTGAGTGAGTCAGTGAGTGGGTTTATAATTGACTGAATGGGTGGATCAGGGAGAGAGTGAGTGTGTGAGTAAATGAGTGGGAGAATGAATGGGTGAGTGAATGAGTGGGTGAGTCAGTGAGTGGGTCAGTGAGTGTGTGAATGAGTTCATCAGGCAGATGTGATGAACACAGAGATCAAATCAGTGGGTGGCTTCGCAATGGCTGTGTGGGAGGGTGGGTTCACAATGGCCGTGTCGGTGGGTGGGTTCACCATGGACGTGTCGGAAGGTGGGTATGGCGTAGTGCATGAGGCATACCCATTAAGCTGGAGAGAGAAACTAGTGTATTTGGGCGCGGTCCTTTGTGTGGAGCCAGGAGGAGGCACAGCGTGGTCAAATCGGCGTGGTGATATGTTTTGAGTGGAACAGGCCAACCAGGGGGAGGGAATCTCAGACCATTTATAGTCGGGCATCTCACGTGATTGGCCAAGGGGATAAACAATGGGCTGAGAGTAGCACTTTAAAAGTAGCACCCAAGCCGGCAGTGGGGGGTGGGACGAGCTGGACGAGCTCCCACCCTCTCAAGCAGCGACGCGAGTGAGGACCAGGGGATCATCACTGTAAGTAGCAGTTGAGGGCTGTCTTCCACTCCATGGAATATATATTTTATAGGGAAACGTTAGGTGACATTGGTATTATTATTATTGTCATCTGTTTCCAGCGGCCGGCCTAGGGATTGATCCAGGGCAGGTGGGACTCCTGGGACGGAGCAAGGGCATGATGGATGCAACGGAGATCCGTCAAGAGCACACAACGAATGCTCAGTGTCGTCAACATATCCTGGACGAAAATGATCGCTTTTTCTGCTGGCACAACAGATTCACCAACAGCTACCAGTTGATGTGCAAAATCGAAGCACGAGAAGTTGACAATGCACTTCAAGCGGGAGAATAAATTCCATTGGTCAGTATGGTGCTGAGACGTGATCGTCAGTCGGATCAACGATGATACAATGCACCAACATCAAACGAAGTCGCGATGGTCTTCGTCAACCAGGATGGCGAACCACCATTCGAGCGTGCCATTCACATCTACCCGAGGAATCCACAGAATCCCAAAAGGCAGTTCATTAACCTCTATTTCAGTCCCAACATGGATCCCATGACGTACGCGATTCTACATCCATACGGCGAGCCAGGATGGTAACCGAACTGGCAGTGCGAGGCTAACGAGGGGGCACAACTGAATAGAGTTCGGAACAACGTCAGCATGCTTCAGTATAAAGCAGCTCAAACGGCGATTCGACTCAACAATGGTTGGTGAATTCGTACCTGCAAGTCAAGGCCAACAATCTCAACTAGAACCGCCAAAATCAGCAGTGACTGCGAGCAGAGCAGTACCAAGGTCTCGCAGACCACATCACAAAGTTAGCCCAAAACGCAAACATTGCAGCTGGCGTCGCAGTCAATCCTCCCTTTGAGCTTCGAGGGATCACCGAGAAAAATGCGTGAGCGATGCAATGTCGATCTTTGCGAGATGGGGTGCACCTGACCTCTTCATAACATTGACTGCAAATCCAAGCTTGCCATAAATCACTGACAACCTTCGCCTGAGTGAGCAGCCATCAGCTCCACCCGACTTGGTGGCACGTGTGTTCAAAATCACGTTGGACGCTCTGATCGATGATCTGACCAAACACGGTGTGTTTGGAGAATTGAAGGTCCATGTCTACACCATCGAGTTCCGGAAGCAAGGCCTTCCGCACGCCCACATCTTTGTGACTCTGCAAGCTCAGGACAAGTTCACAATCGCCGAACGGATCGACCAGTTTGTATGCGCCGAAATTCCAACGCGGAACCATCCCCGACTGTGCGAGATTGTCACGAAATGCATGTTGCACGGTCCATGCGGCGCTGCAAACCTACACGCCCCCTGCATGAACAACGGAAAGTGCAGCAAGGAGTTCCCAAAAGTTTTCAACAACACCACAATCCCGAATGTTAGCGGCTACCCACTCCTACCGTCGTCGATACGCTGAGCAGGCAGAAGTCCAAGGCGTTTCGATGGACAATCGATACGTCGTGCCATACATCCCCTACTTGACGCTCTACTTGACGCTCAAGTACAATGCGCACATCAACGTGGAAGTTTGCACTTCCCTTCAAGCCATCAAGTACATCTATAAATACATCTTCAAGGGATTCGATTGAGCTAACATTGTTCTCACTTTGAACGGACAGCCGGAACTGCGCTAAGATGAAATCACCAATTTCATCGATTGCCGCTCCACAGGCGATGTGGCGGCTCCTCGAGTCGAAGATGCATGATCGCTCACACACAGTGAGGGGACTGCCAGTCCATCTGCCCAACCAACAGACGTCGCGTGAAAGGTACTAAGAGGAAGCAACGAAATATGTCAATGGGAGAGTGGTGGTAGGAAGCTTGCAGCGGAGCAAATAATTAATTCCCTGCGGAGTGCATATACCTTTCACGCGACGGTCAATGGTATAGGGTATAGCATATTGTATAATAATAAATAGTATTAAAGTGTAATGTTTAATACAATGTATAAGGTAATATATAGTATCGTAATTGTATAGTGAATATATAGCAGTGTGGTATACAGTTGGGTGGGTAGAATAATACATAGTGTAATATTACAATGTATAGTTTATAAGCATATTAGTTGCTGCGGCGCTATATTATTAACATTCCTTCCCTTTATTAATTCTAACCTTCCTCCCTTTGATACTGCTAATCCTGCATAATGCATGGGCATAATGACTGTAAAACCCCTAGCCAAACCTCCTACGCATTTCACAAGTAGTACTAATCGCATATCTGCATTTCCCAGAAATATGCTAAATTCCTCTTTATATGCAAATTATTTTGTCAAGCCGCTCTTCGCCCCTCCATCCCAGCATAAATAGTCGCTCCAAGCCTGGGGCGTGCCATTCAGACTCTGTCTCTCGACAGACCTGTTCTCCACCTGAAGACGGCTGCTTGCGTTGTGGCTGAAACGTCGTGAGAATAATTTTATTATATTTTTATTATTTTATTATTTTCCTTCTATGTGACTTTACCGAAAGAACTAAGAAGATGAATCCCTGCAGTCACAAAATCTTTAAATCGAAACGTTGTAAATGGTTTTGAAGGGCACCACAGGCACCCCCAAACAACCTCGTGTAGAAATAAAAGCTGACATCCCTAACATTCAGGTATCTGAGTGGTCTAACACCAGCTCGAGTCAATACACCCCAACTGTCAGCCATCGTTGATGGGCAACGTGACAGTGGGTTTGCAGTGACCATGTCGGTTGGGGTGTTTGTGATATCCGTGTCAGTTGGTGGGTTCACAACGTCCATATCAGTTGGTGGATGGGTTCACGATAGCTGTGTTCGACGGTTGGTGGGTTCACATTGGCCATGTAACTGGGTGGGTTCACGATGGCCGAGTCCTTGAGTGGGATTCACAATGGCCATGTTGGTGGGTGGGTGGGTTCAGAATGGCCGTGTCAGTGGGTGGGTTTACGATGGCCGTGTCAGTTGGGTTCACCATGGCCATGTCGGTGGTTGTGTTTGCGATATCCGTGTCAGTAGGTGGGCCCACAATGATCATATCGGTGAGTGTATGAGTTCAAGATAGCCGTGTTCGTGGTTTGGTGGGATCGCGATGGCCGTGTCGGTTGATGAATGGGTTCACGTTGGCCGTGTCTATGGGTAGGCTCACCGGCAGTTGGCCACGGGTCGCTGGATTCGGGATGTATCTTGAGGGATCCTCTGTAGCAGAGGTGTTTTGAGGCTTCTGTAGGGCATGGGGCTGGGGCAGAAGAAGAGAGAGGAGAGGGGGAGGGGTTTGTGAGAGAGTGAATAGGTTGTGAGTTGGTGAGTGAATCGATGAGAGAGTGAATAGTGGGTGAGTTATATTCTTGGTTCTTTCGGTAAAGTCACGTAGAAGGAAAAAAAAATCCCACGACGTTTCGATTGCAACACAAGCAATGGTCATCAGATGTGAAAACTACAGCAAGAAAATTTGAAAAAAAGTGGCGTTTTTTTCTTAACGTTAGCAAAACCGCCACTTTATTATTTCCCTTCTATGTGACTTTACCGAAAGAACCAATAATATGAATTCCTGCAGTCACGAAAGCTTTAAATCGAATAAAGTGGATAAGTTAGTGAAAGATGAAATAGTGAGTAAGAATGTGATGGTGAAGAGTGAGCAGGTTGTTAAGAGTGAATAGTTAACGAGTTGGTGAGTGATTGATTTTAGTGCATTGGTGAGAGAGTGGATAATGAGTGAGTTGATAAGTGAGTTAAAAGCGAGTGAATCGGTGAGAAAGTTAGTGACATGGTGATTGAACAGCGATTGAGTTGGTGAGAGAGTGATTAGATAGCAAGTACGTTGGTAAGAGAATGAGTGATATGAGCTGTGAGAACCTCTTGGTGTTGACGATATTGACGACGATGATTATGATCATGACGATGATGATCATGCTGATGATGACAATGATGACGATGATAATGGTCATGACGATGATCGTGATGTGATTACGAGGTCATTCATCACCAATGCTCACCTCATTGCGTCGCTTGCAGTAGCAGACGCTGAGCGTGATGACGAGGATGAGTAGAACCCCGGCTCCCACTCCGACTCCCACGCCGATTCCCAGAGCAGAGCTCGGCGCGGAGGTCTGGGGAGACGCGTGGGGAAGTGGGGAGACGCGTGGGGGGGTGGGGAGACACGTGGGGGGGTGGGAGACGCGGGGGGGGGGAAGACGCGTTCGGGGAGATGCGGGGGGGGGGAGACACGGGGGAGACGCGGGGGGGGGGGGAGACGCGGCGGGGGGACACAGGGGGGGGAAACGCGGGGGGGGGAGGAGACGCGGGAGGGGGAGAGACGCGCGAGGGGGGGAGACGCGGGGGGGAGAAGCGGAAGAGACGCGGGGAGTTAGATGGGGGGAGACGTCGGGGGGGGGGGGTGGAGACGCGGAAGAGGCGTGAAGGGGAGATGTGGGTGGTGGAGACGCGGAGGGGGCGACTCGGGTGGAGAGTGCGGAGACTTTTTTGATTGAGTTAGGAGAGAGTTAAGGAGATGTATGTTTAACTTATTTCACACCGTTCGTCGCCAACTGTGCGAATCGGAGGTGCTGACCCCATCCTGACAGTTTGGTTAAACCTCGTAGGGGATAGTCCGCCCAAGTGGAGTGTGCGTGTGTGGGTGCTGATGGAATGTGTACAATATTATTCTACTCACTGTAGGTCGGGCGACCGTCGTCACCTGCAAAAATAACATCATCGTCATTATTAGTAACATCATCATTGTCAGCAGCATGATCATCAGTGGGGAGACAAAGGCGGTCGGGCGGGCGTGATGCTGCCACAGTACCGACCTTCATACATAGGCGCTTCCTTCTTATTTTTTTGTACAATGTCACATTCAGGTGATCAAAGCCAGGAAAACCTCGTCAGGAGCAAGCGCAGTTAGTGAGTGTATCATCGTCGCTCTCGTTCAGTGTTTTTTCACCGATTTTTTTTCAGGGGGGGGGGGTGGGACATTTGCCAACAAGACGTCAGCAGTGCGAGTGAGGGACCACGCCACACGTTTAGGAACAACCATTGGGGGATTTGACAGCAAGCAGTATGATGATGTTGATGACCAAAGGTTCGGGGCTGTCGTTGGGTCCGGGTCCTGGCTGCTGTCGCTGTCTTCACCGTCATCTATCTTCATCGTTCGGCCACATGGCCGATCCTTTGCATGGCTCTCATTGTCGTTGCTATATTAGTCGGCCAGCTATGTAGATAGACGCCGACGATGGGGCTGTGTAGATGGGTCGGCTATGCGTAGTGGTGTATATATATGTCGCCTAGTGATTGTGCCTAAAGTGTGAGAAAGAAATTAGAAGCCCTCTATATGTTGTCTCGGAAGTTGCTCACTACACAGTGAAGAACAACGGGGTAGTACATGGTCTCATTCCATAGTTAAGTATATAGTAGTGTGTCGTGTAGTGTATAGTCGCGTAGTGTATATTAGTGTTGTGTATAATAGTTCGAATGGTGTGGGCGAGCCGAGGTGGGGGTTCTTAATGTTACCGATTGATTATAATTAATATTCCACCAAGGTGGGGTATTCTATCAGCAGGCTTCATCGTCAAAGCGTGTTCAGAAGAAAGTGCCATTTGCCAACTTCCTTAGTTCAGAGGCCTAATGATGGAGAAAGTTTATTATAATGAATTTTCACGGTATAGCCGTCTTTGTTCGTACCTTGTGTAGAGGCAGTGCGTGTGTGGAGGCAGTGCATGGTCTAGGGGTCACGAGGGGCAATTACAGAGTGGAACAATCTGGGAAGTTGAGGAATGGGCTCGAGAGTTCGAGAAAAATGGCGTGGCCATGGGCGGAGTGAGGGCCATGCTGGGGACAAAAGGAGGGAGCGTAGTTTGGGGCGGCCGTGGGATTAGGTCGATTGTCTTCATTCCGTCGCTGTCTTCATATCGTCGCTGTCTTCAGGTCATCGCTGTCTTCACATTGTCGCTGTCGTTGATGTCTCCATGTTGTCGCCCTTAGCTTGCGATCCCTGGACCAAATTATCTGCATGTCATACCTGGCCAAGTTATCTGTGTGTCATCCCTGGCCAAGTTATCTGCTTAAAGCACCCTAAATAATACATAACAGAACCCTCTACAGTTTGTGTTGTCCGAGAATCATTACACTAGTATGGGTGCCAAACGTTAAAAATCGCCACGGCCCACGGGGGGAAGAGATTCATGTCTGGTATGTGCCATATGCACAACCACCCTGCCTGGTCTTTTCGGGACAAACCCTTGTGGAGTGGGGGGGCTGGTTTGTAGGGGATGGAATATAACGGTGTGGCCCAGCGCAGTTGCACAGTGGAGACCCAAGGTGGCTGAGGTTACATGAGGTAAAGGGGGTGGGGGGTGGTGAGGGGGGAGAATCCTCTAAAAACCCCAACTTCTGGAAGCAACGGCGCCGTTCTGTCTTGTTTTAATTGGCGGCAGGTGTTGCCAATTAAAAGTTTAATACAGTACAACGAGTTTTCAAGATTCCAATTGGAGGACGCTGCACGTGCCAAGTTGATTGACATACAATTCCAGAGGCAAGAGACGAATGTCTACTACCCAGCAAGAGGCAACGGATGGGCTGCTCAGGAGGGAGAGAGGCCGTGAACGTGGGACTACATTTGTGGACTTCAGCGGGCACCACTGTGTACGGTGGAAGACAACGACCTTGGATCACCCCGACCACCGGACTCCAGGAGAAACCAGCGATGACTACCGGGCAGACGGCTCCGAGACCCAGGCTGCAGCCCTGTTGAGTTATTCAACGTGGGGATAGAGGAGCCGGCCGGGTCCCTGGACTGTCCTTGCATAGAGTCTCAACTTCACAACCACGACTGCAGCCGTTCAGATTTGTTCAACGTGAGGTTGAAAGCGTCTACCAAGTGCAAAGGCCGTCTTTTGAGTGGATCTTTCAAGAATACAATTGTAAATGCAAAACAAGATACTCCAGTTGGGTCCTGGGAATCCTTGAGGCTGCACACGATCCTGACTGCAGATTCGTGTACTTATGCTTATTCATGCTGCTTTTTAGTTTTTTCCGAGACTGGAATGTGTGAGTGTACGAACGGTCCTCTTGTTTTTTTAGTATGTTTTACTAGCTTTACTACCCGGCTTCGCCCGGGACTTGGATTCTCGACGCCCGGCCGCCTTTGTTTCCCCAGTGGCGATGTTTACACCACGGTTACTCGTTTGAGGCTGAGTCGACCTAGGGGAGGCCCAGGACCGGTTCAAATGATCGTCACAGGTGGTGGTAGTAAGTGGGAATCGAACTCGGGTCGCTGGGTTCATAGCGCAGCGCACTAACAACTACACTACCGCTCGCCCCACACACGCGTCCCCCGTCCATAGGTACACATACACGCGCTTGCTACAGACACACATCTTTTAGGGTGCGTACGGCAGTAAACGACAGAAATAATAAAGCAATGCTGCGCGAAGAACGTCTTAGACCTGCAAAACATTTGTATGGCACTTTACTCACAGAGGGTTGGGGGGGGGATGCTTGGGCATGTGCTCAGAAAAGTAATTTGGTCAATGACTGGCTAGAATACAGGATTTTAAGGAATAGATGCGTCAAAAAAATACGACATGCAAAAAATAACTACTTCTCTTCCACTCTCCTTGAATCTCATGGAAATGCCAGGATTTTCTGGAAAACAATCAAATGTATCGAAAAGGCATCCAAAACAGATCATCTGCCCGTTCAGCTTAACCGAAATGGGGAATATTTTTCAGATCCCCAAAAAATAGTTGACAATTTTAACCTTCATTTTTCTGAAGCTGGTACCCTATTTGATAATATATTGGGAGTCACCCCTGCTCATGCAAATTCCTACACCCCTATCCAAACATTAAGCGAATTTAGTTTTCAGCCAATCCACGAAAGTAATGTTCTTAAACAACTGTCCTACCTCAAAGGGTCCTCCTCTACCGGAGCAGATAGTATTCCCGTCTTTGCTCTACTAAGTGTTGGTCACCTAATATACAAACCTATAGCCCATATTTTCAACCTGTCCATCAAAGAAGCATCAGTTCCTCTAGAATGGAAACATTCCTATGTTCGTCCACTTCACAAAGGGGGCCCTAAAGATGATCCAAATAACTACCGACCTATCTCAATTTTGTCCCCGTTGATGAAAATTTTTGAAAAATTATTGACCTACCAAATTAGCAGTTTCCTGTCCGCCAACAATCTATTACATCTAAAACAATCTGGGTTTCGAAAAAAATACAGCACCACATCTGCTGCATTAGACTCTCTGAATCACATTTACAGTAGCCTTGATAATAAGCAGTACTGCGCCTGTCTTTTTCTTGACTTGTCCAAAGCTTTTGATACAGTAGACCACAACATCCTGCTTAGTAAAATAAGTTGCCTCGGTTTTTCCGAAAACATAGTAAAATGGTTAAAAAATTACCTCTTTTCTCGCACCCAAACTGTATTCACAGAGGGTTGGAGGTCAAACAGTGTTAAGATAACAAAAGGGGTTCCACAGGGTTCCATTCTCGGCCCCCTCTTGTTCTCTCTTTATGTAAATGACTTGGGCACTGAACTGGATTATTCCAGGGTAAATCTTTTTGCAGATGACACGGTACTAATTACTGCTGGCCGCTCTCCGGATGACGTGATTGCTAAGCTCCAGAGTGATTTCAACAAACTACAACATCAGCTAGTTGCTCTTAAACTAGTCCTAAATCCTGCCAAAACCAAGGTGCTATGCTTCTCACCAGGACTAAAGCGGGAAGTTATTTTCCCCCAATTACATTCCTTAAATAATGATCAAATAGAGCAAGTCAAGATCTATAAGTATCTTGGGGTCATCCTGGATTCAAAACTGAATTTTGAAGATCACATTGATTATATTGGGAAAAAGACAAAAATTAAAATTGGTTTTCTATATCGACACAAGCACTGCTTCCCTCCTATGTTCCGTTTGGAATTGATTAAAGCTACCATACTGCCTCTACTTGATTACTGTGACATTGTGTATAAATCAGCCCCAAGTACTGTACTGAAGAAGCTTGACTCAATGTATCACTCGGCCTTAAGATTTGCATTGAACTGCCCATATAGGACTCACCACTGTGATCTCTACATTGGGTCAAACTTAACATCTCTGAATGTTCGACGGCTTGTGCACCAGATCTTATTTATTCATGATGTACTTGCAAAAAAATCTGCAGATTACCTGCTGAATCTCGTCTCTGTTTCAAAGAACAAATTTGACCTAAGGTCTACACTCATTTACCAGCTTAATATTCCCTATTGCCGTACATATACTGGAGGAAGGGCCTTTGCTATTGATGCCCCCAGGGTCTGGAATGCTGTTGCAAATAAATTGAAACTTGAGTCACTACCTATGAGATCTTCACTCAAAACTGCTCTAGAGGAGTTGTACACCCCTAGCTGCCAGTGCTATTCAGTGACCTAAAATTAAATGTTTCGCTCCGGATGATCGCTACAAAGTATGGCCTGTGTTTTGATTTAGTGTGCTGATCTTAAAGGTGCATTGAAAAATTACAATACTCCGATTGATGCTCCTGCTGTTGTGGAGTGACTCATGCAGCCAGCTATGGCTGCAGGGTTTTGGTAGTAGATGTTGTTTATGCCATTTATTGTGAAAATTCCGTCACAGTTCCTATGGTTGCTTTTTCATTGCTTTCATGGCTTTATTTTGGTGATTTCGAAAAGTGTATTGGTTTAGCCATGTTTGTTTGTTGTAGTACAGAGTTAGACTGATGGCCTTAATCTAAGCTGTCTTGTGGTTGTTGTTGTTTGACTTGCATCCCACTGAGATTTTTGCACACAGCGTTGGTGTACGGTGTTTTTTCTGCAATATTTTTGCTGTCTTTTCTTGAATTTTCTGTTTGCACTTAGTCACATATTCACTTTAAGATGTTTTTTGTTCATGTTTTTATTTTTTGTTTGTTGCGGTTGCACCCGATTCAAGAGCTGAATGGCTCACAGGGCTATACCTAATAAATGAACTTGAACTTGACATGAGCAGGCACACTGCGTTACGCTTCCGCACGCGCGGGTCACATGACAGATGTGACGTCACAGCTCACTTGCCGTGCAAAATATATGCATTATTGCGCCCCCCCCCCCAAAAAAAATACAAAAGTAATGTTTTTATAAGTTTTGCATGGTGTATATTCTGGAAAGTACCCACATGGCAAATTTCACGTTTTTTGCATGTCGGGAAGTACGCTAAACATTTTGAACAGACACACATTCACAAATTTCCCTTTTTTATATATATAAATTACCACGGTGCTTTGTTAATGTCACCACACGGGGGCAATGCGTAGCCGTGTGCTATTCGAATTTCGAGGAAGTTTCAAGGAGTCGGTTCTATTCAGCGTTCGCTAACTTTTGACACGCCAGTACATTATGCGATAATTTTGAAAAGTCTTGTACTGATTGTTCTGAAGTTGTCGAGCGATTGGCGCTTTGCAGAGTTGAACAGTTTATTTAGAATTGCCCTGTGAGCTAAGAAGCTCTTGAATCGGGTTTCATCGACAAAGCAAAAAAACTGTTAAATTAAAAAGACAACTTTGCAACAGGTCGCATAAACATTATGATTGCAATAAATACAGCAAATACTTTGTTTTCCTTTATTTTCCTTTATTTTATTTTACATTAACTTGCTAATCTCTTTCTCCATTTTCTCTTTCTCTCCCCCGAGTCGTTCTTATGCGACCACGGAAGCTCATTAACTTTTACTTATTTTACTTTATTTTACTCAATTTATTTTATTTTTATTTTACATTTACTTGCGAATCTCTCCATAATATGTCTCCATAATCGCCCCATTTAACTCAAACATATATAACCCCTTATTTGCAACAGTTCTCTCACTATTTGAGGATGACCGCTTGTGTTGCGATCGAAACGTCGTGATTTATTTTATGTAATTTTTTCCTACCTACGTGACGTTACCGAAAGAACCAAAGATTATGGATTCCTGCAGTCACGAAAGCTTAAATTTAAAATTAAACACAGCAGCGAAAAAAGTCAACAGGTAAATCAAATGTACAATATATTACTTATAAATGTAATATTTAAGGAAAGGGAAGATTGAGATTCAAGACATATTGTAGATGCGGGAAGTTATTATCCGCCAGTGTTTGAGTCGTGTCCTTGAACAAAGTGTCATACATTCTAAATCTGAAGACTCTGTATTCCGGATTGCGTTATTGTATGCCGCCATTAAAGCGCTTTCAAAAGTCCACATTGGTGCCCTTGAAGGAATTGCATGGGAGAGAGAATGGAGCCGAATCCCTCTCTCTCCCATCTTAATATAAAAGAGCAACCATCACAATAGCATAGTTTATAATAGTGTAGTGTGTATATCTGTCTGTATGTATGTTGAACTTCTTACGCACCGTACGTAGAAAACCATGCAAATGGGATGTGCTAAACCCATGCTTCCGGTGAGTTGGAATCTTAGAGGGCAAGGTCCATGCGCGTGTAGTGTGCGTGCATTTGCTGATGGGATGTGTACAACGTTCTTCTACTCACTATAGGTGGAGAGTATGTGGTATCCTGCAAAAACAGCATCACCAGCATCAGTAACATCAATCATCATCGATATTGAAACTTATTTTCTAAACTTTTATTTTATTTTACAATTTGCTTATCGTCGTGTGGGAATGTATAGCAGCCAAATTCTCTAAAATGCGTGGTGATGATTCTAATGTGGAGAAAAAGCCCGGAGGACCCGGAGAAAAATCCATGCGACCACCACGGGCAAAGAGACACGCAAACTCCATATATACTGTACAGCAGGCCTCGTGGTCGGGATCGAACCCACGAACTCCTATATAAGAGGCGAGGTGGTTAACATCTCGCATCATCATCGTCGCTGTAATAGCCACCACCATTATTATCAGCCCCAGCAACAACATCACCACTCACCACCATCACAACCAACGACAAAAACAAGAACCGTCGTCCATCACTAAGTGGTGATGACATCACCATGGCGTTGTGCCAGGCTCGGTGCATCTTAAGGCCACGTGACGTGTTGTGATATAAGGTCATGGGATAGATACAGGTGCCATGGGTTGCCTAATAGATGCACCACCACCTGTGCTCCCCACTGCGTTTTAGCCTCCCAGCACTCTGCTCCTTATTGTGAGCGTTACTCCTCCGCCCTTCAATGTTTATTGAGGGCGACTGCCTCTAGCTGACCTGTAGAGTCCTTCACGAGCCTCCTTTTTAGATGTATTTATGAATGCTTTTGTATTTAGTTTGTCCTTTCCTCCGATTACCACGGTTGGCGTATGGTGCAAAAGAAGTTCGTTATACGTGCATACGTAGAGGTCGATCTTGACTACACTGGTACTGAACATTGGTAAGTGCACTCAACTCCACATCCTTCCTGTACGCATCAGCCTATCTCCATACTCTAGCTCATGCCATACCCTTCTAGCCACCTCTATCCAAAGATAACCTGATTGGTAGTGCATAAATCATCACTCGAACTCCGGTCATCCTCGCAGCGGCTTTGGCTGGCCATCTGACAAAGACGGTCACTGCATCGCGTGCTTTGGGATGCGCTTCTGCAGCCGTCTGTAATGCTCTTCCTTCCGATATGAGGAAGCCAATAGAGCTATGCACTTTACAATCATCGAGATTGAAAATCATTTCTTTCAAACTGCTTTTTGTGTTTAGTTCGGTGTCCTTCTGCATCTCCGCTTTGCACGGTTGGCTATGTACGGTGCGAAAGAAGGTCAACATATATGCTACTATGCACTACACTGCTATATACTACACGACTATACACTACACCACTGCAATTAGCACGGTTGGCTACATAGGGTGTGAAAGAAGCTAAATAAACACAGTAAAGCCTCGCCTGCCGGAGCTCACTTTCCAGCAACTATGAGTTCCTCACAAAATCTAGAATACTTCAAGCCCAGGATGGATTGTAGGCAGGCCAGCCTGGAAGCTTAGAGAAGGGAGTGCATGACTGACCGAGAAGGTCCGAAGTTTTGTATTGAGTTATCAGGCAGGCGGCTTCTACACAGCGTGCTGCCTGGCAAAGGGACGATGTTTAATAATCCTTCCCAGGACCTTTCCCGGCCTCGCCCTAAGGAGGGAGATGCCCCCTTAGTTATTACAATTGGCACGGTCCCCCTTGTTAAAGAGGGGGACCACCAGGGAATCCTTCCAATTCTGTGGAACCTGTCTAGTGGTCAGACGGTTATAATGCTGTGATTATAGGGCAGTCTGCACACAAACACCATCCTCTCACTCAGCAGTTCGCTTGGAAGATCATCTCTGCCCGGTGCTTTTCCTGCTCTCAAACTCTGGATCTCTCTTCGTACTTTCTCAACAAATGGCACCTCAGCCAGCCACAGGGAGTGGCTTCATCCTCCAATATTTGACACACTGCAGCGCCAAGCAGCGTTAACCAAACATTTCCCCCGTGATATAATCTGTGCTGAGGGAATTTTCCTCTCCCATACCCTAGCAGAAATGCTACAAATCTGCGAACATGTTCCTAGGGGTGTGAAATTGCTTAACTATTTATCTTATGGACGTTAATATGTATGGTATTGCAAGTGACTTTTTAAATTGAAAATAAAGAGTGATTTATTATCGCCAGCTTCTGATGCAGATTTCATCTCCTCAGGAAACTGCAACCACCACTCATCCATTCAGCGAAGCACGGCTCTCTGAACCTCCGAGCGAAGGCTGGGGTAAGCCTCTACATTCTTTGACGTGTGATGTTGTAGACGGTGGGAGTCTGCTTGTCGTTTTCTCGCAGGCAGCCGAAACACCACCTCTGTCAGCCAGGGTGCCTCGGGAGGTCTCGACCGTGTACCCAATGCAGCCTTTGCATCTGCATGAGCAAAAGTCATCTGAAGCTTTCCCATTTACCCTGGGTATCATGAGGTATGTGGGTGGGGGGGGGGGTCGATGCCAACTCCAGCTTCAATCAGTGATTATCTTCTCGCATCTAACAGGCCACTGTGGGTTTGAATGGCGTCCAAGATGGACGCCCAACATCATCTTAGAGATAGCAAGCCAATTGTCAGTGGGCAGATCAGCTCCATGGAAATTCCTGGTGTCAAGGAAATGGGCCTACATCCGCTGTTCCCTCTATATAGTCCAACAGACCTTCTTGCTTGGACCCAGCATCTATCCATGATGTTGTGTGGATGCGTCAATACCGGAAAAGCATGTTGTTGATTACAAACCTAAGTCTAGAAGCCTCCTGCTATTGTAATTGAACAGATTTGATCTATGCCTTCCAATTAGGCCAATCCAGGGGTTTGCATTATGACTCACTTGGGCATTAAAGTCACAACAGGAGGACTCCATCCTGAAGGGCCACTAGAGCTAGCACATGTGACAATAAATCCTAGAAGACATCTGAATCATCAGCCTAGCCTGCATCCCTCTACTGATGTCCATTTTCAGCGGGGGGCATAAGCAACCACTACCACTATTCTTGTGCCCTGTTGATGGTGAAGCGAATAAACAGTAATCTGAGACACCATGAGGGGAACGGCTGATTGTTTTCAGCCTCTCCACCAATGGCATTGCTCACAGCCACCACAGCGTTACCGACCGGCAGCCATCACCACTATCACCACCACTACCACTATCATCAGTATTATCATCACCATAACAGCAACCATCACCACCATCACCACTGACCGTTGGGTAGGGTTCACACGCATCTGAGAAGCTGGCTCCAGGAGGTCGGGGGAGATTAAACTGTTGAGACATCATCAGCAAAATAATGATGATCAGCTGCAACATCATCATCAGCAACATTAGCAGCCTCAAAAATATGATGACAAACATCATCAGCAGGAGCATCAATACGTACCTTGTAGACGATGATGGCTAAAGTCTGCGGGACAAAAAACAGGACATCACCATTAACATCAATGATTTAATCAACAACAACAGCTCACGTTTGCCACTGAGTGGAGCTGACATCGCCACGGCGCTTGTGCCAAGCCAGGTGCACTCTGAGGCCACGTGAAGTGTTAAAGGCTCACGGATAAGAGGTTACAAGACATCATTGTAATCGGCAGCAGCATCTAGACCATCACTTCCATCATCACCATAACCACCGCCATCACCACCACCATCATCAACATCATCATCATCACCACCATCACCATCCTTACCACCATCACGGAAATCATGAACATCAAAAGCCGCCATTCACCACTAAGTGGCGGCGGTGTCATCATGGCGCTGGTACCAGGCTAGGTCCATTTTGGGGCCACGTGAAGTGTTGAAAGCTCTCCCTGCTGGCACAAGGTCATCGCACAGACCCAAGTGTCATGGGTTGACTGCTGTGCTAGCCTAGGTGTAGGATGAGGTCACGGGACAGACCCAGGTGCCAATATGTCAACTTGACTAAGATGACATCTTGACTAAGATGACTTAGTCAAGATGACATCATCTTGACTAAGATGACTGGCAGATGCATCAGCTGTGCCCCTTATTGTGCCAACTTACTGCGTTTTAACTACCTGGCACTCCGCTCGTTGTTGTGAGTGTCGCTCCTCTACCCTCGGTTGTTGCTGGAGGGCGACTGCCTCCAACTGTCTAGTACCATCCTTCACGAACGTCATTCTCAGAGGCCCGATCTTGACACTGCTGGTACCGGTAGTCAACAAGTCCACTCAGATCCAAATCCTCCTGTACCATATCAGTCTACCTCTACTTTAGCCCATGCCATGACCGTTTAACCCACTCTATACGGTCAAACAAAATCTGCCTCGCCATGCAGTGGCTGGACTTGTGGGACACATGGCCCAGCCAACATAGCGTCACCTGCTGGGAGGAGCTCACACATGGTGAGTCTGTCCAGATCTTTCAAGCATCTGTGAGGCCCTCGCATAATCCAGCCTGCAGTTTAAACCTAAAACGGATCATAGGCAGGATGGACTGAATGTTTCGAACTGGCAAATATGTTCCATTAGGGGGTCCATATTTCGCAAGCATAGAGAAGGGATCGCATGGCAGTGGCTGACAATATCCGAAGCTTCGTGTGGAGTAATAGACCAGGTAGCTACCACACAGCATTACACAGCCGATGAAAAGATAATGCCACCCGACTGACTGGAAGTGAGACCTCTGCTGTCAAACCTGAGCTGGACATAAGTACATTGCCCAGGTATGTGTAAACCTCTCCACTTTCTCCACAACTACCCCACCAATGGGGAGTTGAGGGGGTGGCGTGTTTGATGACACAAATACCCAGGCAGGTGCTTATTTTTAGAAGGGCTGATGGTTCGGCCCCACCTCTTAGTCGCCTGCTCTAGGTTTAGCAGTAGCGCATCAAACTCCTCCTCTGAGTGTATCAGATGGCAATTTATCCTGTATAGCCATTAAAAACTTCTAGAACTACGTGGTCGAAAAAAAAAGTTGAATAAGATTTAGAAGGTCCAACTCGTCGTGAGCGTAGTAGAGAAATGGAGGACATGAGTGTGGCCGAAAAAAGAAAAAAAACACTGGAGCTTCATTTTGGAGCAACAGGCCAGGGAACTTCTACACAGCGTCATGCCATTCATGAACAAGATGATCATACTCGAATGATTAAAAGTGATAATTCTACTGCCAAAACAGAGCTGGACATGAGCATATCAATCCACTTTCGCCACAACTAGCCCATCACTCACGGCAAGTGGAAGGCGTGGAATGTCTGATGACGTAAAATACTCAGGCAGGTGCTTAGTTTTGGTAGGGCTGATGGCACGACCTCCATCTCTCAGTAGCATACTCCAGGTTCAGCAGCAGAGCCTCCAAACTCTTTTCAGCGTAAGCAGCAATCACCAGATCATCAGCTTACATAACAAGATTGACCAATAGGGAGCCGTTAATGGTGCCTGGGCAACGATTAGCTATCCATTGTATATGTATTAGATAGAAACTCCACTGGTACAGCCATAAAAAGCGTCTCTAACTATACAGCGCCAGGGGATGCAGGCACGTGTATCAGTTGCCGCTCCTGCATTTTTTGTTTTGTTATTGTGTCTGTTTATATCCTTTAAAATCTTTGATGCTTAATATCGTCGGATTTACAAAGATTAACGAGCTGACATTTTCTACACACTCGTCTCGCGTGATAATTAAATAAAATAAACTGGTCAAGGTTCCGCCAATCGTGGGTTTATTCGTTTTTTTACTTAATTGTAATAATTGATACTCGTAAATTCCAGCCCCTCTTTTTGAAATTACGAATGGTCGCGCCCAGCTACGAGGGTAAATGTCTTGTCAAATCAGAGAGGCTGTTGCTGGGCGACTGCTGACCAATGAAAGGAGCAATTACATCGCCACTCGTTATGGCGACGAAGCGGCCGCCATGCGTCCCTCTTCCTTAGCGCGAGACCAACAGTTACAATATTAAAACATAATAACATACTTTTAATCGTTATAAATAGCGTTTTCATTTGCTTAGTAACGCCCGTTCTGATGTGCTGAGGGCGGCATGGTTATGCTGAAGTTGCACAAGCAAGTGAGAAACGTCATGATTTCCATTTAAATATGGTCATGTTATCGCCAATTTACAAAATGTTCTAATTATCACTACTCATATAACTACTCTAAATTAAAATGTTCACTGTGCAGCTTGAATAAGCTGTCGCGATATATATATACTGCTGTGCGTTTGCGCGAATTGTTATAACATTACAGTCCATATCTATTGCTGTCTCCCATACACTACCGTACCTGAAGATCGCAAGTACGACACTTAAACGTGCTATAATTTTCTCCTTGTTCTAAATGTAATTTCACTCCACTGTGATATAGCAATGTGCATGCTTTCAATTACTGTACGTTCAGCTGTTCACATAGGCAAGCCACCATTGCCATCTCTACACGTTGATGCACTGCCCTTGCCATTGCAGTGGGCAATTTCCACTGCTCGAGATTACCACTGCACAATGCCCCTAGGTCCTAGGAGCATAGAAACCTTTTGTCATTCCACTGATAGTTGACGGCCTCCACACGCCGCAACTGGTTTCGGAGGCCATTTGACCATATTTCCTACGCCGCTGGTCAGTGCGGATGTCTAAAGGCAGGCAGCATAGACGTATAGTGCAATGGAATATAAATACGATGTGCCCCCCCCCAGCCTTATGATAACCTGCTTGTGCATGGTGGACACCCCGTCCAGCTACTGTCCTGGGTCAAAACTGCATTACTTTCGAAGTCCAAACATGTCAGCCACATTCCTAATCAGGGTGGTTTCTTCATAGGCCTTGATAGCCTTGCCGTTCTTCACAGTTAACATTATGCGGTGACGAGATGTTTACTACCTCGCCTGGTAAACAGGAGGCCCAGGGTTCCATCCTAACCCTCACGCCATTTGCATGGTCTCCCCCTATAAATTACATTTTAAATTTGCTCGTTCAAACAATGCATCACAGAAACAACAGAAGTCATGCTGGGACATCAGCCACCGAAAAAGAAACAACGATGGATGACACACTGTATTCTCGATCTAATGAGCCAACGAAGAATGTACAAAAACAACAACTTGGAGAAGTACAAACAAATGCAACAGAAGATCAGAGAAGCAATCCGACAGGCAAAAGAAAAGTGGATGGAAGAACAATGCGCCGAGATTGAAGAACTAATATAAAAACATGACAATTTTACTCTGCACAAGAAGCTCAAAGAAGCTGGTAACATCTACAGACCAGCCCCAACAGCTACCTTGTATGCGGACAACAACCAACCAATCCTAAATAAACAAGAAAAAATGGACACCTGGACAAACTATATACACAAGCTCTATGGCGCCACGAGAACACCTGCAGAAAAAGACCAACAGATGTCGAAAGACGCTCTACACATTTTAACATCAGAAGTAGAACATGCAATCAAAACAGCTAAGTCAGGCAAAGCGTGCGGGCCCGACACAATCCATGTAGAATTGCTCAAACTATTAGACAGTAACAACATACGACAACTGACTAATTGGTACAATCAAATATACATTGGCAATAAAATTCCATCCGACTGGCTACAATCCATTTTTGTGGCCATACCAAAGAAAGCAACAAGCCGGAAATGCGAGGACTACAGACTGATAAGCTTGATGAGCCACGTGCTGAAAGTCTTCCTGAAGGTGATCCAACAGCGCATACGCTCCACATGCGAAAATGCATTGAAGAACACACAGTTTGGCTTCTGCAAAGGACTAGGCACAAGAGAAGCAATCTTCTGTCTACAGATACTACTACAGCGATGCTACGAACATCAGAAAGAAGTGTACATCTGCTTCATAGATTACGAGAAAGCCTTTGACTCAGTCGACCACGACCGACTAGCAGCTCTATTAAAACAACTGGGACTAGATAAAAACGACATCAACTTCATCATTGCTCTTTATTGGAAGCAAACAGCCCAACTTCGATATGACAACGAATTGACAGACCCAACACCAATACAAAAAGGTGTACGACAAGGCTGCCCACTTTCACCCAGTCTTTTCAACATCTACTCGGAGCAGATTTTTGATCGAACACTAGCAGATAAAAACATTGGTATTAAAGTCAATGGACAATACATCAACAACATCAGGTATGCCGACGACACTGCACTGCTGGCCGATTCGGAACAAGACCTACAACAAATCTTGGACGAGGTTGCCACAGAGAGTCAAATATGGGGCTTACGAATTAATAAAAAGAAAACAAAGGTTATGAAGGTCAGCCGAACTACAAGCGAAATAACAATCAAGCTTGGCAGCGAAAAATTGGAACAAGTACACCGATTTAAATACCTTGGTGTAATCATTGACGATCAGTTGAACCATGAGGTCGAAATCAAGAGCAGAATTGAACAAGCAAGGCAAGCATTTATTAAATGGAAAACACTCCTTGC